GATGTCGTTATATAGGATAAACTGCGTTAGAAATGCGGAATTTTTGTGATTGATATTTTAAGTTTATATGTTCTTTTTTTTTTTTTTTTTTTTTTTTATCTAGAAGTAATTTTGAAAAGTAGGAATGATTAGTAGTATGAGAGAGTAACATTTTAGTTATATTCCTTGGTTGTGACATAACGCATCCTCCTGCTGGTGATTCGCGTAAACCGTCCATTGCTGCTGTTGTTGGAAGTATGGATGCTCATCCATCGCGCTATGCAGCTACAGTCCGTGTACAAGCTCATCGGCAGGTAATAAGGTTTCTGTTTTTGTAAGAGATATTGCAGAATAAGGAAACTTTTGCTTTGGTGCTTTTACATGTCATTCGAGCAGTGTTTCGTGTCCCACTGATACTTTTCTATTTCAGGAAATAATCAGTGACCTTACATATATGGTGCGCGAACTTCTTATTCAATTTTATCGTTCCACTCGTTTTAAACCAACACGAATTATTATTTATCGTGATGGTGTATCAGAGGGACAATTCTTCAACGTGAGTACTTTCTAGTCATGAATTATCACACCACTGATATTCACAGTAGAATATTATTTCTCAGTTAATTTTATAGGTTTTGCAATATGAACTGCGAGCGTTACGCGAATGCTGCATGTTATTAGAGGAGGACTATCAGCCGGGAATAACATTTATTGCTGTACAGAAAAGACATCATACCCGTCTGTTTGCTGTTGATAAGAAAGATCAAGTAATGCATTTAAATTTTAATTATTACATTTATAATGGATTAGATTTTTGAGCATTATCGAAATTTTTGCTCTCTCATTGAGTAGTGTTATTTTTTTGAGGTTGGAAAAGCTTTTAATATTCCACCTGGAACAACAGTTGATGTTGGTATCACACACCCTACCGAATTTGACTTCTATCTTTGTTCGCATGCAGGAATTCAGGTCCTTCTTTTGCTAAATATTACTCGTAGAGTTTTAATACCACATTATTTCTCTTTATTTGATGCATCGTTTCATGCGTTGCGTAATATTTAGCATGTCACAGTATTTTTGAATATAAGTGTAAATCGCTATCTGAAATCAGTGCAGAACTGAAAATTTTCTAAGAATAAGTAGAGGGTATGATTTTATCAAATGCATACTTTAAGATATTCGTATTTTCAATTTTGTTATTGTAAAATTACGGTTTCAGTATATCAGAAGTTATGGTGGAATTATACTCCGTAACTCTTCTTGAAATGTTCATCGTTTTTGTAATCATGGTTTTAGGGAACGTCTCGTCCATCTCATTATCATGTACTCTGGGATGATAATCAGCTAAGTGCTGATGAGCTACAGCAATTGACATACCAGATGTGCCATACGTACGTCCGTTGTACACGATCTGTTTCGATCCCGGCGCCAGCATATTATGCGCATTTGGTGGCTTTTAGAGCTCGTTATCACTTGGTTGATCGCGAACATGACAGGTATTTAAGGCCAAATTTTATAGACCATGAGTTATAAATAATGTTAAAAAGAGTACATTATGGTGGTCGATATTTTATAGTACTGTTTGCAATGATATTAGTTTTTAAAGCAGATTATGTAACATGTAGAAAAGTTATTTTGTAATAACATTCTCTATCGGTTAATAGTATTGTGTTACAGCGGCGAAGGTTCTCAACCATCTGGAACAAGTGAAGATACTACTTTGAGCAACATGGCGCGTGCAGTTCAGGTCCATCCAGATGCAAACAGTGTTATGTATTTCGCTTGAAAACGAACCTTTGTTATTGTCGCAAAGTTTTTTATTGAAAAAAATTCGAAATTATCGTTATGAAATTTTTTATTGCTCGTTTCCTTCTGCATTGTTTTTTTTTTTTCAATTTAAGGAATTAGCAGTCTATCTTCTTAAATAGGTTAATGTCTACACATAATTCGTGCTCATGAGCATATCTATTTTCTTTTGAACTGTTTTATTTCTTCCTCATTAATAATATGTGAAAATGAATTTGCACATCATTAAAAAATTTGTATTTTTATTCTTTTATGTTTTGATTCACCAGCTTTTGAAATCTATTTGTTTATTTTCCTGTCTTTCAGTTGGCGAACCTTCATCTCCATCTTATATAAAATTTCCATAGTTCGGATTGAAACCTGATTCAGTTTAATAATTTGAAACAAAATACAAGGACCTCTTTTAGCCTTAAGCTTTACATGGTTTCGGATGAACTTTCCTCCCAACAATTCGTCTTATTCTTTCTCATGACAAGCAGTAATTTATATTCGATCAGCCTTCACTGTAATTCTAGATATGCATTGTTCTAATTTTTGGTTAGTATTAGACAGTCTCTATTTTGAAGTGCGATCAATGAGCGTAATATTTTTTATCACGCAAAAGCTTTCTGATATACTTAATAGTTTCTTAAACCCTTTAGCAAATAATCAGTAAAAACAGGCTTTTTCTTGATGATCATGCAGTAACGTTTAAACAGGTTTTTTAAGCAGTTTATATTGATATTTTATGTATCTTCCATTGTTATTTGCATGCATCTACATATTGCTTTAAATGTTCCAGGAAGGAAGGGAAAGAAATGAGGATTAGAAAATTCACGGGTTATTAGGTAGTGTGGCTTATTTGATGCATGCAAGCATCATCTTGTTCCAGTTTTTGAATGGTTTATTTCAAAAATATAGAACTAGTGATACAGATGGTGCAGCGTGAAGCGTGCCGTGACGATATACAAGTGTGGTCGACCGCCATCCATTTTAAACGGCGGCCTAGGCCGGGAAAATTGTGTCACGGGCACGATTCCGTTACTTATTTGTATTGCACCCATCAAGAAATAAGTTCATGCAGATAACTAGGTTAAGTTATAAAAGACATGGTATAAAGCCATAAATCGCGCCAACCTTCAACTTTCGACTTTGTGACATGCAATTGTGATCATCATTGTCGTGCAGTTTTGGTCCAGGATTTGTCAAAATGACTAGCAATTGTCTTTCGTTATCGGTACCACTGCCATCTCTCTATTGCTTCATTTCTTTGCTTATATCTCTGGCAGTCTGTTGTCTTGTCAGGTGAAGTGACGGTTGTATTGGAGATGTTTTAAAATGCGTACACCTTGTAGTTTTTTCCCGGTTTAATTTCAGTGAAGCCATTTTTGAGGCGATTGTCACCTTTTGGTCATACCATCGAGGAATATATCACTGGAGTTTTAATGAGTTTGTTAAGCAAAGTCAAATCTGGATATTTCGTTGTTATGGTTAGGCTAATCCTTGTTTTCCTAGGAATCCGGTTTATGAACGACTGTCCCATTGCTACTCATTTTCCTTTCTATACGATTCTTTGAACTGGTCCAACTTTCTCTTGTGCTGGTGAGCAGTTCTAATGAACGTTCGTTCCTATTGATGATGTTCTATTCTCCTTCCTTCTTGGCTGTAGTGATACTCCTAAATTTAGATCCCACAGCTATTCTTCCATTTTGGTTTTCTGAAGTTTGTGTTTTTATAGAAGCAAATATACTTTCATGTTTCTTCGTTTGTTGGAAATTGGAATCAATTTGTCATTCTAATTTTCGTGCACTCCTTTTTATCCAATTAAAATTTGTAACGAAACAAATGTATCTAATATCGACTTACGTTTGGTCGACTGTGCTTCCTGAGAAACCGGGAGAGAATGATAACACCTGTTCAAAATGTCATTGAAAAGAAAAAGTAACTTTGCGAGGAAAAGACAAATGTGTTTATTGGGGTGTGAGAGAAGGGATAATGGCCCTACTACTGCAATACGGAAGTACCGTAATAGATTTGGCGAGCGAATTGGTTATAATCATTGCATTTCTTATATTTTTATTGAGCAGTTTGGCTGTTTGAAGGTATGATTGATTTTGTTATCCTATTATAATTATGTCGATAGTGGTAATATACCTTTAAAAAGTAAAAAGATGACAATGTGAAAGGTAACAGTCATGTTAGCTTATTACTTATTACTTAATGAACTTTTGGCTTTATTTAATTGATTTATAACCATATTAACGAATCAAGAATTCTTACATGATTGAACTAACATGGAATACACACTAGGAGTAATTGCAATGCATTAATCATAGGAAAATTATGTCTGAAGTTTAGAGTGTAAATGGAAGATTTTGAAACTTCCTTGGGATTCAAGAGAAATCCTTGTGAATATATTGTAAATCGAAACATTACCATTCTGATGGTAATAGATGTAATGGATTTTCAGCTATATATTATTGCTTGAAAGGATCATTATCACCAAGGTAACGAAGGGAGATCTGAAATTCAGCAATGGCGGTATCTGAAACGAAGTCATGTGTGTGAAATGAATCTTAAGTTAATGAATATCGGGAAAATGACTGCTTGCCATTTCATTATTGCTCATTTTGTAACCAATTTTTATATCTAAAATACTATAGAAGATTTTATGCGACGTCGACTTAAATGAAATAGGGAGAAATGTGTATATTATAATCCGTCATGGATATTTTTTTTAGCTGTTTCTTCGCTTTCTGTTACTGGAAGCACTTTGCCAATTTATATAACAGTTGAACCGAAACAACTGACTTTTCGCGATGATTCTAGAACGAGCAGTGTTTTACTACGTATAATGTTTGTTTGTAACCGTATTTTTATATAAAATTTGAAGTTAATGAGAAAAGAAAGAGAATATGAGGGACATAAGTGTCATGACAATTCAATTATTTATTTGTGGCTTAAATACATTTTAATATTCATTAGCAAGATAATATTATTAAATTAATTTAGAAATGTTAAATGTTTCCGTGTAGCATTTCGAATTCGTACTAATGCTCCAACACAATATATCGTTACGCCAGCTACCGGTTTTTTATCTGCCAATGAAAATATTAATGTACGTGATGATGTAAAGAAATGTCTTCGACAATTTAGTAGTTGATTTGATCTTCTCATTTAGTGTTTAATTCATTAATTAATATAGAAATGTTAAGTTATTAATAACAAATTTAAATATGAGGAGATATCGACGACAGCATCGATTCATAATTCAAGCTATGAAAGCAAAGGAAAGTGATAAAGATCGTAAAAAGATATGGGATGATTCAAGAGCGGAAAATTTGGATTTAGTTCAGTGTATACGAGTCTTTACATTGTTAGTGTGTGTTAATTAATTTCTATTACAAATTATAGAAAAAGCAAATGTTCACGTACGTGAAAGAATAGAGAATTTAAATTCATAGTCATTTTACTTCCCTAATTTGTCATTATTCATTAATACAAACTTCTTATTTAAATATGGGGATGGGTTGTATGAATTCTGCATTCTTCTATGATGTAATTTTCTTACCTGTAGAAGAGTAAGCAGACAAAAGTTGGATGAATCAAGAAGTGAGCAGGATCAATTAGCGACATCTTCTGATTCAGAGACGGGTGAATCGGAAACAGCCTCATTACGAGTACAAATAATGACTGACGAGAAAAAATCGATTAAAATCAATGAACTAAATAAACAGATTAACAACAAATTAGGTTTTTCATTCTTCGTTAAAAAAGATGAAATATAATGAATTGAAAATAATAACACTTTTACTAATTTAATTAGTTTAAACCCATTTTATAATAGGCCATGTTGTAATTAACATAATTTAAACTAATTTTTAAATATACTTATGAATTTACATACAGAAGAAAAAAGAGATGGATGGCAAAGTTTAATGCAAGCAATAAATGAAGTTAAAAAAATAGAGATTGATTTGGATCGAGCAACAGTTCAGTGTAATGATCTCAATAAAATGATCATTCTCGAGGAGGATCAGCAAAAGGTTCAGAAGCTAATTTAAATCGAATATTTTGTTCGATTAAACGTTCGATTGCTTGAAGGATTAACAAAGAGGGTTTGTTACAAAATTGAAAGTTAATTTCAGATTATTAAAGAAAATCTGGCAAAAATCGATGCGATTTTGGATACACTGAAAAATGAAATAAAATGATTTTAAGTTCATATATAGCAATTTAAAATACAAATTAAAAGTTAATAAATATGTTTATTATGCAAGTTTGTTAGCACTTTCTTAACTGCTAAATTAATTGCAATAAAGAGTTGCGAAAATTAAATTAGGCTAAAACTAAAATAGGTAAATGAATGAAACTTATAAGTTAGAAGATTAATATTAATAATTGGGACCATTTCCCCAATTACTCTTCCTATTGGAAGAAGATCGGAAGACAATATATTTCATTTGTGATATTCTCAATTTGTTTTATAAAATCTTTTCGATGCACAGCTTATACACACACACACACGCATACACACGTACGTAATGAACTATTTTGTGAAAAGATCATGGATAACGTTTGAATTCATAACGTAATTAAATTTTCGTTGTTTTAATTAAATGAATAGTTTTTGTTTTTTAACTGAATAGTTAGTCAAATGATACGATATGGGTTAAAAAGTGAATTGAAATGGAATAATAATTTTAGCCTAAACGAATTTTAGACCATGGTACGCACTATAAATAATGGAGTATAAAATTGTAAGTATAAGAAAGGATATTAACAAGAGGAAAGAAGATGAATTTGAAATGACAAAAGTTTTCATGCTCTTTTATATTGGTCATTGGTCAATTCATTGTCTTATAAGCTTCCAAAAATATGCAACTCATATGAATTTCTCCAAGTGATAAAAATCTTAATATTTTTTCCTATTCTTCATACATCCATCCTAAAGTTTACAGCCAGCCAGCCAGCCAACTTCTCTTGCTATTTTATCTTTTTGTTTTATTACTTCTTTTCTTTCTATTTCTTTGTTGAATTTCTTGCCTTTTTTTAATGAAGCTGTGAGACAAAAATACAATAAAATGCTTAAATTAAGCAGGCGGAATATTGATCGCACCGAAATATTAAATTATTAAATTAAATTAATTTCAAAAGAATATTCCATTGAAGGGAAATTTGCGAAACTTAATGAATTAAAAGTTGAACAAAACTTTTATTTCAAAATTCACTTTACAAAATTTAATTATACCGTTTTGGACATTAATAATTAGCGTCCAAAATGGTATAGTTAATTGATTCAAAGTACCACCGATTATTTCTAAAAATTATATAGCAAAATGCGAAATCGCATCATAATAATGCCATCGACAATAATTACAAGGCCAAATAAACAATTTTATTGAATTTGAAAGAATGAATAAATGACAAAGAAATAGTTGTGAAAAAATTGATAGAGAAGAGAAAGAGAGAAAAATGAAACATTCTGAAAATTTAACAAAAATTAATTAATGACAATGGCTGCCATTATATCATATTGTTTCATTTATTCAGCAAAGTTCGAAATTTTAAGAAGTAATTAAAATATCATTTAAAATTCTTAGCAGTAAATCTTAAAACATTTTATTTGGTAATTATGATTGATTTAAAAAAAATTAAGTTAATTTGTGATTTTAAATAACTAAAGTTATCGAGTTCTAGTTAATTAGTTGTATTTAATTTTTAAGCAGCTTAAGTTTGCTGAAATTCTTGCTATCAACAATTTTACCTGGAAATAATTTGAGAATAAGTCAATGACATTCCATGGTAAATAAAAAATAAAATTTTATAGCTAATGACTTATTAATATATAATCAATTTTAATGACTAATCTTTGTCAAAAATTTCATCCTAAAATCGTTTCTTATTTTTCTTTCATTTGTTTATTTGCTTAGAACCGATCGATCCTTTTGCTTTACAATCATATTTATCTTAGTTTTTCTCTCATTTTTATCAAATTCAATTATACTTTCTGAATGAATGAAAATAAAATGAATAAATATTCGGAAAACATTTATGTTTATAATTTTTCGTTTTATACTTACTTTAACGATAAATGCATTTCGAATAATTACAAATAATAACAATGAAATAATGATAAATATGATATCGTAGACGTATTATGATATTTCGAAATATTATAAAGTGTTTTGTCTCTTTCTTAAAACTTGTAGCAAATTAAATTATTAGTCCTAGAGATATTAGTAATATAGACTAAGTGATGTAACTGTCACATCTATATGTCACATCATAGTGAGCCATCTCGCCGACATGACATCAAGTGGATTACATTCTCTTTTAAGTGTTCCTAATTAAGAGCACTTGACTGAAGGCATAAATGACGAAGAAATAGCATCAATTGAAGTTATGGGAAAAAAGCTAATTATTCTCTCTAATGTACTTTGAAGTTTTATTTAAATGATCAAGATGAATGTGTGAGAGATTGAATAATATTGCTAGAATGAGATATTGTCGGATGGCTATGAAAAATTGGGTGACATAATTGTTTCGATTATGAGAAGACGTTTGAATCATATTTCATACAACTCATATCACTTTTAAATTTGTAAAAACTGTTGCAAATGCGATCTATGCAACAAATTAAATTCACACTCACTGTATGATAGTGAGAGTACTATAAGAAGAATGATTGGGCGAGACAACTAAAGAAAGTATTTCGATTATAATCTTTCAAATTATAAATTCTAATAAAATTAAATCATAAATTATTTAATATTTTTTTCATTTTTATAAATTTAATCATTTTATTATTGGCGACAATGTTTAAATGATAAAATAAATTATTATTTTATATTTAATTTCTATACATTTTCTTCTTTCATCAAATAAAAACAAATTTCTAAAATGGATTTTTGATAATTAATTGGGAAATAAAATATGCAACAAATGAAGTTGGCAGGAAAGAATAAATTAAAGAATACTAAAAAGGAAATATGTACTAAAAATGGTACAACAAATTGCTTAACAAAAAGTAATTTAAACTGAAAAGTATCGAACAGCCAAAGCTAACAAAAAAGCAACTAATTGAAATTAAATTAGCAAAAAGATATGCAATAAACAAATATATATTTTAGGTTGTTTATTTATAAGAATATGTGAATAAAATTATTTGCAATATTTTGTGACTTATTAATTTAACATTTGTTAATTTTTAATTTAATTTTCTTTGTAGCGAACTTAATAGTTATAATTCTCATCAGTTATTATTTATGATTAATGTATTTTCTCTTGCAAAAGTCAAAAGTGCTATCGATAATTTTTGTATTTTATTCGCTGATAATATGTCAAATTTTTTGCTAACAATAATTCACATTCTGTAGCATTTTTAAGTTTATATTTAAAATCTAATTAATACATAAATATGTTTGAGAGAAATGAAATAGTTAGAATCGTTTTACAGTTGGAAAGATTTATATTAGTATGCCAGCAACATAAAGACAAAAGAATTACAGTTTTCAATAATTTCTAAAATTGAATCAGTGGAAGATCTCTCCAAGCAATAGTACTTCATTTAATGCAGACAATTCCCCGTGATGAAATATCAAATATTAAAATCTTTTTATGCAAAATAAACTATTAAATTGATCATAAATTGCAATATTATTATCTTTTCTTGAATTTATCATTATTATCATTATCAGTATCATCTATCTGATAATGATTTCAACAAGAAAGATTGATGTTTACCTCCGATATATCATTATGATATTTGCAATGATAAAAAATTGTTAAAAACAGAAATAAAAGAATGCTATTAATTATTTTCATATTTAAGTTATTTAAAACAGTAACTTAGCTAAAACAATGAATGAATGAATTATTATAATTCGTTTGTGCAAATAACAAACATTAAAGGTGCAAATAAATTATTTGTTGAAAAAAGATTGAAAGTATAATCAGTAACTGAATTTTAATTAATAAGTAAGCATCATTCATTCGTTTACTTAATATTAAAGTAATTGCTTAAATTTGAAATAATCTGAAACAATAATTATTTTTCTATTATGAAAATTCTTTGATAATCGATAAATAAATAATAAGAAATATTGAACCGTTGGAAAGAATTTAGCCACAAATCATTGTCGAAATAAGTTTTATAATAAAATCTTTGAAATTTTTATCATTTAATTTTTGCTAATTTTCATGTTTGCTACGTGAAACATATTATGCAGAAACAATTATTTTTTAAAAGATTCAAAATTGGGCAAAACAAAATCAATGAATTGAGATATATGATGTGATAAAATATTCACGTACACGTTTATACACGTGTACATGACTATCCTTACAATAGTATCTAATTATAATTCATTAAGTTTGTATAGAAAGATTGCTTGATGATAATACACGTACATCATATTGCAAAAATCAAATAAATCTTTTGCGACACATCAAATATATATACAATAACAATGCTTACCAATAGACTATTGATTGATTAACTTTTCGGACATCTCAACCGAAAAAATTCTCTTAACTTCCATATCCTTATGTAATTAAAACTAAGAAATTGTAGTGAAATAATGGGATGTAAAATCGTTACTTAATCAATAAAATTAAAAAATTTACTTTCTACTGTCGAGTGATACTATTGAATCAATAATCTATTTCACAGCATTACATATCATCTGGAAAAATGGTTTGCTAAAGAAAAAATTGAACAATATTTGTAAGTGAAATTTTTATGGGAAATGATAACGCGGTAATCGAACTCGTTTTCGTATTTTATTTGACATTGTTATTGGCCGTGATCGATTATTCTTACGATAATATAAATTACATGCACTGAAAGCATATTTTTAATGAGTGACAATTATTGGATAAATTAATTATATAATAGTTAGTTATATAGGACTGGGAAAAGTAGAAGACTAGTATCAAATAGCTATTGAATCATTATTATTAATTACTATCGTTGCTTTTGTTCAAATATTATATCACTAATAGATAAAACAAAAAACAAACTTGCACTCTATAGCTCCTGTACTGCTGCGACGCCATAACGTTGTCTCTTTGGTACCACAATTTGAGCATATAGAATTAATATGAGTACTGATTGGCTGTAAAAATTTACTTCAGTTGCTATAAGATATTTCCAACTATATTCTCATTTAAAATGTCTGGTTAATAAAACTCGATCACATTAAACGTTAAGTTATATATAGTCGATGTAATGGACAATAATTTTTTATCATCAAATATCTTTAGTACTATTGATAATTCAATTCTTTAAAATTACTAGAAACGACAAAATTTTTTAAAGCTCATATGGTGTTTAAATTAATTTGTCAACAGCAGTTATTTATTAACCTTTTTCTTGAAATTAATAGCAACATTATTAATTAATGGAGAACTATTATTAGTTACAAATAATTCTCTAAGTAATTGCGGCGGCGCTAATGTATTTGCGATCTCGGCAGAATGTTGCTGTTGTACGTATGCCACCTGAAATTGGTTCTATCAATATCTTATTGTTAATGCAAAATTTTCCTCATTATCTGTTTCTTTAAACACCTAATTATTGATGATGTAAATTTCTCAAAAGTATTGCATTGCTAAAAAGATCGTTCATTTGGATGTATCAACGAAAAATTAGTAGCAATTAAAGATATAAAATTAACTTTTGAATTAACTTCAATCTAAATGTTATGATGCTTTCTGAAGATGCAATAAATTTTCTTCTTTAAAGTTGAATAAATTTGCAGTAATGAAACCTGTTCTGGGTATGTTTGATTTTTTGAAGATATCAATTGCTGACATAATAAGCCTTGACAAGGATATTCCATTGGCCTAAAAATTAAGAACGTTAAAAAAGTCCTCATTACTTTGAATAATATGGAAGAAACAGAAAAGATGTTAAAAATTAGAAATAATATTTAGATTTGTCTCAACAAACAATGTATTCCTCAAGTTAGTGATATCATATAAATTGACTTCCTGAAATGTTTTTCATTTGCTTATCAAACATACCGGTGATAGCATGATATTGGATGATGATGGTGATGATGATGATGATGAATTTGTGATGGTTCTTCGAAATACTGCACCACTGGTATTCGAGTGGAAGGTCGATGGATAAATTCAGGATAGGAAATGCTTCGAGGATATTGCGTATGTGAGGAAGACGGTTCCATCTGATGCAATACACGTATCGTTGGAATTGATTTACTGGAAGGATCGGGTACAGTTGCATCTCAAAATGTCAACAATTACTTTAAACCAATTTTAATGAAAGGATTTTAATATCTCTTTGATATGTTCAAAATGAGATTCTATTCTTTTCTAATTGAAGTAAATAAATCATTTAGTAGTAAAACGAATAAATCTAAAATTTTGATAAAAAATCATTTCGAGAAATTTCTGATTTAACAAATTTTTATGATACAATTGTAATGAAGTATTTTACAATAATTCATAAATATCATAATACTCTCAATAATTCCTTTATTATTTTTTACAGCTAATTTAATATTATAAAATGCATAAAGTTAATTAGCATTGCTATGAAAGATTACCTTATGTCTTTTTAATTACTTATTTAAATATTTAACTGAAGAGATTACTTTTTGTAGATTACCTGTGGAAGGGTTATAATAGTATTTTGAAGAATGATTATTACTTGTTGTTTCATGATTGTTCACATGCGACTCTTCAACAACAATTCCATTTGCAAATATATTTGTGTTACAGTCTGAAGAACACAAACCAATTTTAATTTGAGGTAAAAAGAAATTCAACAAAAGAGAATTTCAAATTAAAACAAAACATTAGATAAAAGAAATGATGGGAAAAGTAAAACTCATTCAATTGTTTCAATGTTTCCTTTTCATTATTAATAACATAATTGTAAAGAATTATTCTAATTTCTGGTAAATTAAATATTCGAAAAAATTTTCGTTTAGTGAAAAAGTTTGTATTAAAAGAAATATAAAGTTTTCGCTTTTTCCAGCACTAAGTGTTATGATATAAGCAGAGATTAATCATTAATGGTACTTAAATTGGTTTAATCAAAATTTGATATCTATTCATATTAAATGAATTTGATAAAATGATAAAATTAAAAAGAAGGAAAGATATCTGTTATATGCTTAAATTAGACAATACAAATTGTAATTATATGCTTATTGTTTATGCTTTTACTCATTTCTTTTTTTGACAGTTAAATTTATAAACAAATAAAAAATTTTGTTAAATAAATTTTTGCTTTTATCATTCGTTTTGAAAATTATTAATATACGGTAACCAATAGTCTGCTACAATCTAATAGCTTTACGCTACAATTTCGGATTTCAATGCTAAATATTCGTAGAGAGAAGTTAATAAATAATAAGAGTTGACAGTAATGAAAGAAATAAAATATCGAAAAAACAAAACGATGAAGAAAATTTGTCATAAAAATGAATGCTATTGTCCCATTTGGAAGATTGTCGAAAGTTTTAATCGAAGTTTTCAAATAGTTTAATATTCAATCCTTAACACAAAATGTTAAAGGTAAGTAATTTTCAATTGTTCTTAAATAATTTCATATCGTAAATATATTCGGAAAACTACTTTTCACCTGTTTTCTTTAGTAATGCTTTTATTATCAGTGTCATTATCACTATAATCAAAACAAAGCAAACTAGCCGTTATCATCATGATAATGGGCCTCAGCCTCCCAATAATCAATTGTTTGATCGCCAAGTTTTGTTGGTGTACGTAATGACATCTAAACTTTAAATTAATTAATGAAAAAGAAAAAGTTTTAAATATCAAATTTTTGAAAAAGAAAGTAAATATCGCAAAAGCATAACAAAATTATAATTTCACTTAACAATTTCGAACCCATTTTTAATGAAAATATTATAAAAAACTATTTTAAAAGAAGCGATCGGTATTTATTTTTGATATAATTAGTTTATTATTCTCTTAATCTTAAAATTTTCCTTTTTTTGTTATAAAGCTTAAATATATTTAAAGTTTTAATCCTTCTTCTTCTCAATTATATAAGTTAATATTTATAGTAATAAATCATAAAAAGTTAATAATTGAAATAATTAATTTAGGAATTAAAAATTTTGTCTTCATATCTTTTATTACACAATATTTTGTCTGTCAAGAATTTTGCTATTTAATTAAGGAAGAAAATTTCATCTTATTTGTTACATGTAAAACTTTCAAAAAGAAATAAATAGACATCTGGTCAACGAAGTAGCATATCAAAATGATTAAGATTATCACTGCGCGACAGGAAAAGCTTTGTAGGTGACTTAGTTATCATTTACCTTCTTATCTTATCAACTTCATAAATCAGTTCATTCCTCATAGCAGCTTTCTACCGTACCTATTGGCATAACAAAATATATTTGTTGACCGATTACTGTTGATAATTATTATTTTTTGTTTTATCTCAACCTATACATTAATGATAACCTATATATTCTGTTTCGAGAGATTGTCTTATAATTAATCACAAATGGTTGATAATAAATTTGAATTACTTCTGATAAGTTGGCAGCAAAAAATGTTTAGCCATCCATAAATATAAGCATTAATTAAATCCAAAATCATTTTATTAACTATTATTATTATTATTACTTTTTTTTGTTCAAACTATGCAAAAATATTCATTATATTTCTAAATAAAGTTTCAATTAATAACAAAATTCAACGAAAATTCCTGATATATTTGAGCACTATGCTAAATTAGAAAGTGAAAGGAAATTATTTTAACTATACCGAATAATTAATTATTAAAAATCAGTGATAGTTCTTATCAAAAAAAAAAGAAAAAAGGAGGCGGATATACCGATCGTTATCTGACATTCCAACAAGTTGAACTAAAGCATAAGTAATCAGAAGTATCCAGAAGTCCATCTTAAAAAGACGGAGTTTGGATGATCCTTGTTGATTTCAAATTTGATGTTTGGTACTTGAAATTGTATTTGTTGACGTTCCTTTCCATATAGCGGCATATCTCTTTGATTTCATCATCAGACAATGAGTAACTCAATGATATGTCAATTCAGATGACAAATATATCACTTCAAATTATATATGTCTCATCCATACCTAAATAACTATTTGCATGAATTTTGAAATAATTGTCGTTCATTAAATTATTAAATTCATTACGTATGTTTTATTATTAACTATCAAATTTATTTTGTTATTTATAATTTATTAAATAGGTGATATTGTTCTACAACTTGTTTTAATTGAGAATAATTCCATTGTAAAAACAAGTGGAAAGAGAAGAAAGAGTGATAAAGAAGAGAAAGATTGCTTATCATTAATATCACTTCACTATTCGCTTATTTTATTTTATGAAATGTTTTCTTCTCTTTATTTTAATATATCATACTTTTATGTTACATTTTCATTATATTTTTTTCTTTACTTTTTCTATAATTATTCTGTGCTCGCTATTTTTCGAAAACTATAAATAGTAGTTGTAAAATAATACTATCAGTATGACCCGAACAAAATAGTTTCGTGTCTGAATGAAAAGAATAGGCTTGTTTATAAAACAAATCAAACAACATGGCATTAGCATTTATTGTTGTATTTAATGCATATATATATATAAATAGGCCTTATGTTAATTTCCACAAAGAATTCACAACAACAGGTACTGCTAAGTATTACCTTGTTGGTATTTACTCTTTAAAGAATTGCACATTTCGATTTGCTCTAAGCATATTCCCATTTTAATAGCAAAGGATGTAAAATTCATTGATTTCATAAGAGGTGATGAATCGATCGGCGATTTGTGTTGTACCATCTCTTTCAAATTTTTCATTTCATAAGCAAATTTATCGCGTCATCATTCCTCCCCACGCTGTCACCAACCTCAACATATGCACACTAAACATTAAACATTGAAGGATTGCTGAATCATTGTGATAAAAAGTGAATTAATTACATTCGCTTTATTATCATTTTACTCATTCATTCATTTATTAATTTTATTTATAAAAAAATAATTTAATTTTTTTTTTAAGTTTTTCTTTTTCAGAAGCATATCATATCACTCATTATCGATCCATTTAAAAAGTCTACGTTGGAAATTTAGCATACTTCTGAAATATAATGGTGAAAGATCGATCGAATGAATTTAGGGTAAGTTTTATATTAGATTTATTCTGATTATTACCTGTCATTATAAAAGTTATTCATCGATTTCAATGGATTATATATCATTTTGCATAATTTGTCGTTTCAATAAATTGTGACTCTCAGTCAATCCCATAAAATCTCTCAATCAATCCAGTAGAAGTAAAATATCAAAATCAATGATAAATTTGTTGCATTCTTTCTTTTTCCTTATCTACAACTAATTTCTAATTATTCTCGAAGTTATTAATTAAATAATTTTAAATTTCAAGAACACAAGAATGGAAATTAATGAATCAATAAATAATTGATTAAGTGGGTATGCTTGATGTATTATTAGAAATCGCTTATTTGTCATTAAAAACTATAATACAGCGATTAGTGACAGCAACTGAGACAATAATAACTTACTGAGAATTTAAGTGAATGAATGATTCTGTCATTATATTCATTTTAATTGCTCACAAACACTTACCGAAAGTAATATAAATTATTTACATTTTTTATTGAATTAAATCAAATTTTGAATTGTTAAGTTACCAATAACATTTTTATATCAATAATTAATAATTAATTAAATGTAAATTATCTTTAGACAATTGATCATTCATAAATCAGAAACATTTTAATGGCAAAAAATCATTCAAATCAATTAAAGCAATTTTTTTTATTCAATTAAAATTTGGAATTTAAAGAATATTCGATTGAAATAGAGAGTTATCACACAATAATTTGAAATTTGAATTATTTGCATAAGTTAAAATTCTTTTCTTTAGATTTGTAAAATTTTCGAAAGATAATTTCTTTTATGTTTTGCAGCAAAAAGCCGATCAATTTGTAATGGATGATAATGGATTCATTGAGATTGATATTGAATCAAATATCGATTTTCCACAGAGTGGTTCATTTTTTGCTGAAATTGACGAAATTCGAAATTTGATGGCTAAATTATCAGACGATGTTGCAAGCATGAAAATGCAGTTTCGTTCAATCTTGGCTCAAACTACAGTTGATGGTGTTGAAAAGGTAACAAAATTGTTTAATTTTAGTTAACACAAAAATAATTATGATTAGAGTAAATTATAAGTTAAATTGTTAATTATTGAAACTAAGCTTTAACACATTTCAATTAATTAAAATAAAAGTATATCAGGCAATTTGTAGCCAAAAAACTTTTATTTCATAGAAAAAATTATGAAAATGATTAATTGATTGATGAGAGATAGCCGAATTTGTTTACCTTTCTCCAATATCTAATTAGTAGAAAGAACAGAAAGTGAAAAACGAGCATTAAAATGAAATGTAATACAGTTACATTTGTTTATTAATATATCTAAATATAGGATAGTAAATTCCATTAATTTAAAAACCACAATTACTTTATGCCAACTTCACTTTAGTATTATTCCCTTCTCGCTATTATTTTTAATTTCAAAAGAAAATAATTAAAGGAAAAACTTGACGACTGTATGGCCGGAATAAAGTATCGTTCCGATTTACTGCGAAAACATTTGTTAGCTATGAAACAAAATGCAAAAAAAACGGAAAGTGATGATAAGCAAACTGTTACGATTGGCAAACGTATCCAACAATATCACATTGAAGCGCTATCAAACAAGCTTTCGAATTTGCTGGAAATATTAAATGCTGCGCAATTAAATTACAGAGCACAAGTTGCAAGTTTGTCGTATTTCATAAATCGCTAACAAAATAATTAGTCGTAAGAGACGTAATGAGATCATTTCTGCAATTCCCCCAAATTTTCATTAGTCAAAGAAAGAAAAAAGAAGTAAAGATTAATTAGTTGAAAGGTATGAATATAGGTGTGAAAGGTATGAATAGGGTATGAAAGATATGAAAGTTGAAAGATATGAATATATATGTTGAAAGGTAAAAATAATAAATAATTGGGAAAGAAAAGTTTTATAAATCATTTATTGGTAAAGTCAGTAATTAAATTAATTTTTCATCCTAAAATTTTGATTAAAAAGCATAATTTTGAAAATTGTGGTTAAAAGAGAAAGTTATTGCAATCTATATAAATTGCATAGTTAAATTTGTTTTCTTGTCCAGAAAACTTTTATATAATCTATCTGTGCGTTTATATATGAGCAAAAAATAGGATAAAATATTATTTATTAGTAAGTAGTTATATTGATGAATTAATTAATTACTGTTGCAGTGATTCATTATAATTTTATGCTAATTAAGAACGAATTAAGCGGCAGTTAGAAATTGCTGGTGAACATATGACAGAGGAGGAAGTTAATACAATGATTGATTCCAAATCATCGATAATTTTCAACAGGTTAATATGTTTTATGTAAGATGTTGAAAACGATTACAAAATAAAGTAAAAATTGAACAAAACTTATCATATCATTGATGATATACAACAAATCGATGATAATGATAAGAATTATAATAAGATGAGAAAACTTTTGAAAAGAATTGGTTAGAATTAATTTAGATAATATAATTAATATAATTTTCAGAAATATACGTTCATCGCAATTAAAATCAGCTTTTGATGATGCCAATTTAAGGCATAATGAAATACTAAATTTAGAAGCAAGCATCAAAGAACTTAATCATTTATACAACGATATGAATTTTCTCGTGCATACGCAGGTAAAACTATCAACATCCAAATTTTTTTACATTCAGGTGGATTATATATAATAGATGATTATATCCTATTGATCTATTGCTAACAAACTTATCATTTAACAATACCACAATCTTACATTCCTACATCCATTAGCGATATAAATATGATTGGTGCGAGTAAAATTGACAAAATGAAGCATTTTTGGTTGAGTTAAAAAAGGTTGGTTTGACAACGATGATATACAATTTTATAATTATTGCTATATAATCATATGATATTGATTGATTATTATAGGGCGAAAGAGTAGATCGAATTGATCAGAATGCTAGTGATGCATTTAATTATGTGACAGATGGTAGTCAACAAGCTCGGATAGCTGTACAATATCAACAAGAAGTAGTGCATAAAAAGTTATATTATAGTATTGGATGTTTCGTAATTATTGGTTTCATTCTAATCATTCTAATCATTTATTTCTTTGTTAAGTGATATTCTGCTACTATTTTTCTTTTCCTTTTCTAATTAAAACAAAATTTGAATAAAATTGGAATAAGTTATTTGTTCATTTGTATATAGCTATGAAATCATAAATATCAGTGATATCTTACACAAGCAGTATTCACAAATATTAACTTACAATGCTATTAAACTATTTTCTTGTCAATAAAAATTCATCAAAGTGATAAAAAATTCATCTCTCAAAATATAATGTTTCATTGCTATCAATTCATAAATGAAAATATCAATTCAATCAAATATTGGCAAGAAAAGTTGAAAAGTTTTCAAAGATAAAATTCGTTCTTTTCTTGTCTTTTCTTCTCTCTCTCTCTCTGATCTCTCAAAAAATTAGTTGCAGTTTTTTATTGTATCGCTAAATTACCACTTTTATTCAATTAATATTTCATCTGCAATAAGAGAATTAAGACAAAAATTCAGATAGTTATTATAAGCTTAATTTATTTAACTCTTTATGCTATTTATACTGCTACTTTTACCAAATATTTCTAGTTTGAAAATAATATCATGAATATAATTCACGATGGTTAACAATTCAATATATACATTTCAACAGCAAATAGCCAATCAAAATTTTAATGATAATAGTAGCATGAAAATTTTCCCAATTAACATAAAAAAGCCAATTAAAATTCCGGTTATTTTTACAACAAAAGGAAAAGAGGCCATTAATGAATTTTTATCAATCAAAGTATTTACTTATCTGAAATATGAAATTATCAATTATGCTGCAATTAATTTTTTGCTTTTTTCTTTCACATAAATTGTTAAGAGAACTAATGCATGTAATTGTAATTCGATCACATCATATATATTATAATTTGAATATTATACACAAATATTATTTCAAAGTCAATTATTTTAAATTTTTCCTCTCTATTTAATTTTGACAATTACCTAAAAAATGAATTGTTTTTATTTAATGGCACTTCAAAGATGGCGTTGATATTCATTTTTAAATTTTTGTGCAATACAATCTAAAAGATTCATTGGAAAATTTCGTTGTTGTATTCAAATTCTATGCACAATTCTGTATTTTAATTCCTTATTATCAATTGATTTCCATTATATATTTAATTATTCATTCTTATATTAAAACTATTCATTCCATTGCATAATTAATTCCCTTAAAAAGATTATTTTTTGAGAACTGAAAATATGAAAAATGCTAAAATGATATTTTCAACATTTTGTTACTTCTTCTATTAAAATTATTCCATATCATACGCTACGATTTACTTATTTCTCTCAAATATATTCTTGTATTTATTATATTTGTGAAATAAAATTAAATTAGAAAGTTCAAAAAAGAGAAAAAAAGAAAGAGAGAATGTTCTCATATTTCAATTATAGAGAGAAGAAAAAGAGAAACAAACTGGTTAGATGACCATTCTAAGTTCCATCCAACTAATAATCACTTCTTCTCTATTACTACCATTGAGATCTATGTATTCATTCATCCATTTGATATATTACAAAAATTTTCTTAATTAATGCTCACAGCAAAGTAATAATAGAAATGTGTAATGTATGGAAATTTAATTTTAAATGAAATTCAGTGAGATTAATTTTTCTCTTTTATTATATTTGTGTCTTTTCAAATTGTAATTTTATGCCCATTTCAGCAGACTTATGTGCAGTCTTCCGTAAATCGTTATTTAAATTTTGCGTTGTTTTGTTTTGCTAGACATTTTGAACGTAGAATGATAACAGCAAAGAAGTTCAGTAAGAACGAGTTTAAGCACAGGGCAAGTAACCATGTTTAGCTTAGCAAATATTAGAGCATATATATGATTTGTAGTTAGGAATTTTAGAGTTTAAAATTTAAAGAGATTTATGAGAGCCATTGGGAAATAGCACTTCAAAGGAAGAACTACTATCGTTATTGACATATAAATGTTTAGCAATGGTTTTTGGTCAATTTAGATTCTACCGGGAGCAATCCTTTAACATCTTTAACAATTTATAGTCTTGGAAATGATGATCACGAGATTAGGACAGTCTTCTTGTATTAGAATGATATAAATAATGAAATGTGGTACTACCGTGATTTTTCTGATATATATCAGAAGTGTTCTATTCCTCTTTATGAAAATTTTTGCTTACTGATTCTTTTTTCTTACTGACAATTCTGCTTACTGATTGATATAAATCGTTTCGGACAATTTTATTTTTTGTCCTTCAAAAAGATGAATTCTCCTACAAAAATATATATATTTCAAGAACAATTACTTGCATAGTTTCTACACGAAAATCCTATTTTATATCCTTGAAAACCTTTTAAAATATGCAAATGCAGATATATTTCCACTCATTTCCAGATTTTTTACATGTCATCTGAAATTTTCTGACTGCCGCAGGCAATTTCTTTCCGGATATCATCTTCAAGTTGGAAGTAGAAAAAATATTGAAATCCTTTGTAGTTGTACTTCAACAGCAATCCATCTGACTTCCTTCCATAGTTTATACCTGAGATAATAATGAAAAATACATGGGGAATAGTTCAAAAAAGTTTAGATTTAATTATTAAGTCTAAATTATTAAGCATCAGATAGTTAGGATTTCGCAATCACTTTTACCTTAGATCCTAACAAGTCATTCCTCTTTCAAATCTTCAATAACCAACACTGTCATAATGATAGAAATTATCAAAGCCTATTTAGAATAACACAAAAGATACAGAAACAAATATGAATTCTAGATCTTATTTAGCGCACTCATTGTGTTATTCTAATAAGCCTTCTGTTTTGAAATCTATTCATGATCCAGAGCTACTGAGCTATTGCTAAATTATATTATTTCAATCTTCTGGGAAAAATTTTCATTCGTTTCACTCATCCGTCTTGTCCTTTGCTTAAAACGTCAATTAATTCCAGACAGTACAGTGAATGATTTCTGGAAAAGCATTGCTAATACAATCTTTTTGATAGAAAATTACTATTATCAATGAAATATTATTAATGGATAATAATCATAGAATATAACATCGTATTTGTAGAGAATATAAACAAACTTAATCTATCATGACAATTGTTTCTCATAATGGTTATATAATGGCTTTCAAGTAATACCATCAATGTAGTACACGATTGGAAATTGAAATTTATTTATGAAATGAAACAATACCAAGGATTAAAATTGAAAATCTGAATGATACAAGCGGAAAAAGTTTGCTACTCAATATTCCATGGCAAATTTTTTTCCTGAATTTCCTCATAATTATAGTGAAAATTTTCGACTGGAATATTAGAATTACAGAAAATTAGAATTACATGGGATAAGCCAACTCATTATTAATGAACTAATTAACTAATATAAAAGTCATTGATAATAAGTTCCTATGCATATAATTGATTTGATCGATCAAATTCTAATTTAAGGTTCCATGGCCATACAGCAAAATCTTTGCAGCAATTGGATTGTTAATTATCAGATAGATAATAAGTATTTTACATTGATATTCCCGAAGGTTTTCCTACTTCACCTGCAATATGATTCTAAAATTCTCGAAACTTTCTAATCCTTTTAGATGAAGGAGGAAATTTATACGGTTCCATCGCATCACCATTTTATAGTCACAGAAAACGTGAATGATGAAAATGGAGAGGCCCAAGAAATCAGCGAAACCGATTCAGTAAATTCTTAGCTTTTCGGACAGTTAATAAATCGATTTGATACACTTTCAAGCGTCTCATCTACTTTTGTCTTCATTTATTTTTTTCCAGACCTAATTGATATTGTGCTGATTAGTGAAGGGATTTAGTTTTATTTTAGATAATTTTTTTTGCTAAAAAGAGGAAGGAAAAATTTCGGGAGTGAGTAAATTACGTGAATATAAGACCGAGCGATTTGTTAGCAAGGAGCACGTCATTGTAAGACAAGAAATGGGTAATTGGAGGGCAAAGATCGAGCAAAAGGGAAAATAATTCGCCTGGAAATACCACATCACCCCGAAAAACCAATTATGCAAATCAAGACTTCCTCGAAAGCTTTAACTGCAAGGAAAGAGAGAGAAAACAACAGTGGCAGCATTATATTATTGACGATTGCTGTTCTCGTAGCAATTCCTTTTCTACTGTATCAGTTATGTTTTGTAAAATTCTTGTCATGTCGCTTACGTGTGTTGCGTACATATGTGCGCATATGTGTGCATATGTGCTTACGTCTATTGAAGGTTTATTTTGCCGAAAGAATTCTCTTATCTCCGTTGATAATTTCCATCAATATATATATTTAAGAAACGATTTCCGTGTGTGGGTGGCATAACACTTTTATCCATTTTCCTTAGCTTATTATTATTCACTAATTAATTACTAGAATTTTTTGCTTCATCTTTCCTCAAACACCATATTATTCGCAGTAATATGTTATCACTGCATAGATATTAATAAAAATTCGACTGCTTATTACTGACGTGTTATCACTGGCAAGGTATTATTACTTGTTTTATAAAATAGGATTTTGAATTTTATGAGCTGTGCACATTAAAAAGAAATTTTATGAGTTGTGCACATTGTATATCGCAATGATGTTCGGTTCATATTTTTCCTGGAGTTTGAACAAAAGTTATGATGACTATTGAATCATTGAGACATCCATTGAATCATTGAAGTTTTAATTGAGACATGCATTGTTCGCATTTAGCTATTCTTGCTATGTGGAGATTGTTATGGTTTACTAGTTCGTTATTCATTTGATTTTTTTAACTAATATTACTTCAGTGGTCATTTATTTTCAAGTAATCTTAGTTTTGATAAGTGATTTGAATATTGTTTAGTTTGATAAATAATATATAAATCATCTGTGTTGTAGGACTGTGATGTGTAGTATATTCCATTTTATCCTCAAGAAAGTGTAAACAGTAAGTGCAATATATATTATCTGTAGTATTTGCTGTTGAGAACACTCTGGAAAAAGAGGAAAAGAAGAAATGAATTCAAATAAAATTCCAATTAATCAATATATTAACAGGGAATGGCAGAAAGCACGGAATTATGGCGAGAATGTGTACGGTGGATGAACGAATGCGGAATCCTGGATGCCAAACATCGGGTAGCAGAAAGAGATGCTGGAATTGGTGAATTCGCAACCATTCTACGAGATGGTGTATTGCTTTGCTTACTTTGTAATCGATTATGCGAAAATTGTATTGACATCAAAGATTTACAACAACGACCACAAATGGCCCAGGTATATGTCTTAACTATTCAAATATACTGTATAACCACATTGCACTATTGTAATCGTTTTATGTTTTTTACATCACTGGAAATTGTTTTGGATTTAGATATCCGAGGCTTTTCAGATTTTTTGCTGGGAAACTTATGATCATAAGATCAAGCAAGTTAACAAGATCAGTTTTGGCAGTTTTTGTAGTATCACTGATACTCATGAAAAATAGTCATATTTCAACGTATTATTAAAACATCATAACTATATTTTATTTCAGTTTCTCTGCTGCAAAAACATTTGCGAATTTTTGAAAGCATGTAAGAATACATTTGAAATGAAGCCGGAAGATCTATTCGATCCGTGGGATCTCTATCGTCTCGATGATTTTGGCAAAGTGCTGAGAACGCTTTCCAAACTGTCCATGTCTCCTGTAGCAAAGCTTAGCGGTATTAGGTTCATTTTTCAGTTCTTTATAATTACAGAAGTTAAACAAAATTATGTTTTGTTTGTGCTTTTTTTCGAGTGAAATTAAGGATTCATTGTTTGTTACTTCGCTTCGGTTTTCTTAGATATTCATAGCACATATTTTATAAAATAATTGCATTTGTTTAAAATATTCAACTATATATGAATATTAAGTTAAAAGTATGCGAACTTGTTGAGACACTTAGCTTTTGCTGTCAGGCGTGACATTTGGCAACACACATTTGAGATATTTCAGAGGATTCCCATTACGTATATCTTTATTAAATTCAGTGGAATATTATAACGACAAGGTTATTTATAAAAATCTTCGTCAAGGAGCAGAAATAAATGAACCTATACTCGAAAATGCTTATGATATGGGTATCGCGGAGGAGGAGAAGACTAGTGGTCGAATTTACGATTCTATTGTGTGTCAACGGTCTAACAGTCAACGGGAACTTAAAGCTATCGAATATGATGTTAGTTTCTGTTAACTATACATGAACTTCATAATTAGGAAGTGCTACTGAGACGAAACCAAATTTCTTCAAGGATTACTGAAAATGTGGGCTAAGTCTTCCAGCTTTCTCAAAATTTCTGTTTATTTGAATTTATCTGATATTATACAAATATGTTGATTAATCAGATATTAAAAAATCTTTTTTAATTGCTAAAGAAAATGCTTCTTTTTAATTTGGACCTCTTGTAATTTGATAAGTTATAATAAAAATGTGAATAATATGAAAGGAGATGAAATGCTTGTATTAATAAAGATATTTCAGTCAACTAGTAGGCACGAACTTTTCAGATTAATTGTTTAATGTCAACGTTTTCTAATTTTTCAAAATTTCATACTCTAAGTTTTTTGGCATTTTTTTGCCGCTTTATATGCAGTTTGTAAAAGGTCAAGTTTTTGATACTTTGCAAACTCTACTTTAGAATTTGAAGTGGGACTCCGCAATATTTAGCAACCTGTAGCAGTCTTGACGGAAGGATATGGAGTGCTGTTTGACGAATTGTTTTTTAGAAGTGGATGAATTTTAAACCAGATTCTCGACGTGAGCATTGCATCAAGGAATTGTACGATACCGAATCAAACTATGTCGAGAAAGCTTTAGATATGATCATAAATAATTTTTATGCACCACTGGAGGAAGTGCTATCGAAGGATGATCATAAAATGATCTTTATGAATATTTTGGTTTGTTATTCGTTCAGATCCATTGCATGCTTCAATCTTTCTTTAGTAGTATTAGCCATTGAAATCAGAATTTGTAATAGTTTTTATAGGAACTGGCATGTATTCATCGCTCATTTCGTGATCATTTACGACAAGCTGTCTTTTATACCGTAGGGTTGGAAGAGCCCATGAATGATGAAAAACCGGTGACAATTGGGGACGTCTTTATTACGTAATTAATGCTCTCAATATTTTTTTACACAAATTGCGATTCTTCTTGGAAGTATTAAATTTTTTTAAAACTAGCAGAGAATTTCAGGTGGAAAGAAAAATTTGTGGCATATGGAGAATATTGTTCGAAATTACCAAATTCACGTTCACATATTTGTTATTTAGAAAAAACAAATCCGATCATACGGCAAAAGATTATTGTATGTACTTTCTTGTTCTTGTTTTTTTTTTTTTACGCCTAATTCTTCTTATTTCTTTAATTGTAGTCGCAATAGCTCTCTTGAGAATTCTAAGTTTACCTGTGTAGCAAAAGTTGACTTCCATTCTGTTTCAGGATTGTGGTATAGCTGCTAATCGTAATCAGTTCCATTTACAAGATCTACTCAGTATACCAATGCAGAGGGTTTTAAAGTACCATGTTTTATTATCGGTAGTTTTTTTCCCTTTTATTTGAAATATTCCAAGAATTAATGGACAATTTACAGTCGTGAAATTGAATTAGTCGCAGTTTTATAGCATGAAAATATCCTTTATTGTTGCTCTAGGAGATGATAAAACTTACCTCAGTGGACTCGCTGGACCGTTTACCTTTAGAAGAAGCCAAAGAGGCAATGCAGGATATCAATTCCTACGTCAACGAAATGAAACGTGATTATGAGATGCAGCAGCTGGTTATGGATATTGAAACAAGTATAACGGATCTAGAGCTGGTATTTATCTCTGTGCTTTGTTCTCTGTGCTGATTAAACTGCATAAACAACAAATGATAAAACGAAACCACACAATTTCTTTAACGTAAGGATTTGGAAAACCGGTCGTTATGTAGTTGCGAACTGATTTCAGCCCGTAGGCATGCATTTGATTAACTATGGCCGATTGGTTAAAGATGGTGAAATCAAAATTGCCGATCAAAGTAAGGATGGCAGTCGACTGAAAACACGCTATGTATTTGTTTTCGATAAAGTGATGATTATTTGTAAAAGTCTAAGAGTAAGTTTTAGTTTTGAAATAGATTGTAATGTTTCAACTGTGAATGAATATTAGAAAATAGTACAGAAAACATACGTCACATGCGTCTCCATCAAGGCAAGTAAAATTCAAGAAATTCATTATAGACATAAATTTAAAAGTAAGAAGTAGATAGTAAAGTATTATACAAGTGGTATTTAAACAAAACAATGAATAACTCGCAGTAAATTGCAGATATTTCATTATCTGCATTTCACGAATGATTCCAGGGAAATCAGTACTCATATCGAAGTGCGCATATACTGAATGATTATCGTATTGGTGTCGATGCAGATAATAATAATAAAATTGGTACAATAACTCGTAAGCTGACAGCTAATGGTGGTTATTATTTCTCTTTAGTTCAAGAATTGGATGACAATGTTACCAACGTCCTTAATGTTTGCTGCAAGACGATGCTGCAAAGAGACAGTTGGGTGCAAAATATTATAGCGGCACAGTAAGTGTACTTGTTTGTAGCCATTCCATTCTTAAATTACAAACCAAAAATTCTAAATTACATGGACAAGATTTACCGGGAATTGTTTATAGGAACAATGTACGACCTAAAGATTCGGAAGCATCAGGCCATTGTTTGCAGTATCATAGCTACGATAAAGCTACCGTTTGTTTTCATTGTGAAAAACTTCTTGCTGGTCTCTTCTATCAAGGATATCATTGCTCCGGTTAGTAAATAAGTTGGTTATTGGGATGACATTGTGTTCTTGTCAGATTTTCAGTACTAAAATTATTGCTAACTAGCCCGTTTTACCATTATTGCAGATTGTAAGCGAAATTTTCATCGTTCGTGCTTATCGATGAGTAAATGTCCAGGAGTTGATCTTGTATTAACACGAAGTCACACTCCAAATAGGCGGAAACATACTGCTTCTTGTTAGTGCTTTTTGAACTTGGAAATTTATTACTCCGTTCAGAGTATAAATTTCACTTTTCATTATTTCATCTGCTGTTTTCTGCGTTTCAGAATACCCATTTGGGATAAATTGCTAGGTTAACTGTTTAGCTACCTTTTTTTTTAGTGCAACCCCATGAATGTGTTCGCGCAGTACAATCATTTCGATCAAACGACCCACTGTTCCTATCATTCGAAATGAATGATTTGATAGAAATCACTCAACGAAATATTGATGGCACACTGATGGTTAGAATTTTGCGAACTTTGTTTCAATGTAGTCTTTCTTACCTTATCTACTGAAAGCTTAACAGATCGTAGAAAAAAATTACACAATAAGGCAGCCAAAAATCAACGAGCAAAAAGTCTGAGCTCCAGATTTTCATTTCACATTTCACACTTCATAAGCGATAGAAGAATTAACATTAAGAAATTGAAATTTGTTTCTTGAGTGCCACGTAATATCGAGCTATTTTTCAATGCATCCGAACATTCTGACCTTACACAGTGGACAGTTTCACAGAGTCAGCGTAGCAAAATCTAAACCGTTCATTGCTTTGCGACACTGAAATCGTTTTTACAACATTGTAAATATGTGGATTGTGAATATTAATTCAGGGATTAAATATGCAAATCCTTTATTTTTACTCGGTGTCGTCTATCACTTTGATTTTTAAGAATTAAGAATTCGATTATTTTTACAAATCTCAGTCAGTGAAAGATTTGAAAATGAATTTTTGTTTTTTCATAAAGTTATTCCAGGGACGAATTGTTGCGTTTCCTAATCGAACTGGATTTATTCAACCGGAATTTGTTCGTAGATTTCGGGTAATTAATATCGAATTTATACATTAAATTTAAGATTATTAGTTGACTAACAATCATTTGAATCATTGCTTATTAGAACATTGAGGTATGACAAAACAATCAAATCTGTCTTTGTGGTGATCAGTTTCAACCAAATATTATTTATAGATTTCTGCGTCGTCATTGCATATGGGTTCATCGACAGGTATTTCATCAAACGTTACACTGTCGTCACCGGTAGAACATAGTGATTCTTGGATTAGTTCACCTCAGTTGCAACTGCCTCTTACGAACGGTGAGCGCAAATCCTCCGCCTCGATTGAAAATATGTAAGTTTTATCATTTTTTTTGTTCATCTGTATTTCTGATATTTCATAAAATTTTTGGTATAATATCCTGTCTTCTTTACAATCACTACTGACTCTTTTCCTTCGTTTGCCAACAAATTTATGATTTTGTTTTTTAAATCGCTTTGTGTTGTAAAAATGTGATATGTAATCTCGGTCCATTTATTCTTCCTTGTTAGTTTAGGTCATAGAAACATTAATTGTTTTAAGCTTATATATGGAATCATTTTCATACTAAGATATTTATGTATTATCTTAGAGTAACTCTTCCTTGAAATTTCTGTTGCTTTTAAATTTTTAATAATATTCTTTAATAAATTGATGTATAAAGATATAACTATAAACAATTGGCAGATTTTTGCCTCGGAAGTCGCAAAACCAGGATTATGTGAATACTGAAGTGATGGGTCAGCAGTGGTATCGGGGACCGATGAAACGATGGGATGCAGAGGAACTTTTACGTGGCACACCAGATGGTACTTTCTTAGTACGATTCAGTGCCACACAGCAAAAATATGTTATCAGCATAAGGTACTATTTTTTAAATTATTCAGTCTATACTAATAAATATTATTATATTTTACACTCACTTTTAAAATTTAGTTTCAATGGTGAAGTGAAACACACAAAGGTGGAACAGTCTCTAGAAGGACGTTATTACCTGGACGAAAGCACAGTGTTTGCGGGAATTGTGGTTAGACGTTAACAATTTTTCTGAAGCTTTTCCCTACATGAAGGAACAAATACTATTCCCATTTTAACATTGCTCCTTCAAATCGTTGGCAGAGAGTACGTTAGCGTGGTAATAGCAATAGCGATTAATAGTGTTGATACTAGTAATAACAAGATAGTAATAGTAATAGGCGGTAATTATCATTGGACAGCTTCCAATATCTGAATTTCAGGAATTGGTCAACTACTATAGAGAAAATAATTTGCGAGAATCGTTCGAAACTTTAAACACCACTCTACGATATCCTTATATCGATAAACAGTCATATGTTGCCTTGCATAATTTTGAAGCATCAGAGCCAAATTTTCTCACTTTGGTGGTTGGTCAAAGAGTCTATGTGATTAGTAGGACTGGTGAAGATCGAGGCTGGTGGAAAGGGCGCAGTGGTAATCGAGTAAGTTATCATTTGAATTAGTTTCTGTAGCATACGCAACACAAAATTTCTTAGGGGAAGGGAGGGTCTTAGTGATTATTTGATGCTTCTGAAGTTTGAGCCAATGTTTTGCACACAAACTGGACTGATGTAATAAAATTTTTAGAATATAGAATTAGTTTTTGCTGCACAAATTGGATTATGTGGTAAAATTTTTTAAGCGTGAAATTATTATATAAATTTTAAAACGACAGCATATATGAGTCAAGAAAGTTTTCATTCAACTTTTCAACCTTTTATGTTTACTGATAATGGAGAGGGTTATCTTGCCAAATATATTGTCAGCTTTTGTTTTATTCTATTCACAAATGATGTTACCTGAGAGAAAAGTGGGTGCTATTTTTAAAATTTTATAAAACTCTTTCAGGTAGGCTACTTCCCACTTGCTTATGTCGCACCAGCAGAAGAGGCATGATGACAAGAGCATGATCAATTTTCTTTATATTCAGTAAGCAGATCAACCTTGCTGACGAATCTTTGCTCAGTAAATATGGGTACAAATTTTTTTGTGATTTTCTCTGGGTCGATCTTTTATGTTTTAAATCAAATTTTGCACAGGAATTATGATTTGAATACATACGTGTAATGGTCAAGGATTCAGTTTTGCTTTTTTATTGAAATATCTAAATCAGTTAATGCCTTCAGGGCAACGAAAGTATAGCAGTACTTTAGTTAAACTTTTTGCCATTATATAATTAGTTTATAATGGAAATTTTCACAAGAACGATGGGAGCATATTGTTTGTTTGACTACTTTTGCGAGTTTGTTTATCATGATTTGCTTTACGGTGTTTTACCAAAGGCATTTGTCAGGATTAGTAATGTGACGCTTAAATTTTCGTGAACCTGTATCTGTTATTTTCTTCCATGTTTCCCACATATGAAAATAGATACCAGTGTACGGTATGCTAACACTTACAAAAGGGTTGATATTTTTAATGGTAGATATGAAACTACTGTTGCTTTCTTGCTGTTAAGGCACTTCATATCTGTTTATCAATTCTGTAGGTGCTATTCTGTAGGTGCTTTACTGTTAGTGTGTTATATTTCATTGATTTTGTTGTATGCTATTTTGAGATAACGAAGTTCTTCCTGAAACTGTTTGAGGCTAGCTTACCGGTGCTTTTGATTATAGCAATTATTTTTCTGTTATTTCGAAAGACTTTTATTGGTTTTCCTCATTGATTAGAAAATCTCTGATATGTAAAATTGTAGGAATAATGGTAATTTGGTTCTGTTTTTAATGGGTTAGAATTAAAATCACCTGTGAAATTACAGATATGATCTGTCCATGTCCATAGGAAGAGGGACAAATTATGAGTGGAAGGCAATTCAACAGAATGAGTGGAAAGAGAGTAATTGAGTAAAGCTTTTTGATCTATTTCTTTACGACCTGAAAATAATTACGAAGTCACTTTCTTGAGTTAGTTTTAAGTGTAAATGAAGAAATAAAATAATTTCTTATTTCCTAAGATGTTTCCAAGTTAATTGGTCTTTTGTGAAGCATTGTGCTTTCTGAGTGCCAGTAAATATTAATAATTTTCTTCTGCACTTTGCCTTTTCTAAAATCATGTTGGTCAATGTATATGAAATTTTTGTAGTTTTGGTGTGTCGTTCACTATATATATATATATATATATATATATGTATTATATATTTCTCTAAAAGAAAGAAAATGTACTTTTGCTGTTATGTTACTCGTGACATCCAATTAGAAGAATACTTTAGTTTGTAATTTAATTTAATTTTGTCGAATTATTGCTCATATTTCATTTTTTTCGCTTGATTCATTAGTATACCAAATTCCATTTTTGTTTGCAAGTGCTATCTATGAATGTCATTCCGCATTTGGATGTCACTTATGGCCGTTTATGCGGGTAAGTCATGTAGAACTGCGGAAAGTTATGTGTGTTCAAAAAATTTTATTTCAAATTAAATTTCAGATTGCAGAACGTGTGTGCATGTAAGGGTAAATGTGTAGTATTTATTGTTATAAGCTAAAATAAATGGCGATTTTAATTGTTGTGTATATCATGTTCTGTCACTTTGAAGAACATTTCCGATTCGATATTTTGTTTAGATTTCTCATCTACATGTGTTTTGACATCTATTTGGCAACGTATTTCAAACGTTACTTTTGAGCATTTTCGAATGAATGCCTCCTGAAATAAAGATTTTAGAAAAGAATCGTTTTAGATGATGATTTTGCTTAATGTGGTTGGTGTATCACATATTTATCTGAAAAGGAATGATTGGTAGATTGATATTATTCTGCCGCAATTTAAGAGGTATTTTATCTCCCTGGGAGATGCCACTCCACGTTGCGACTTTGATTTAGGTGATACGATTTAGAAATGGATCGGATAGTTGAAAGCTTTTTGCCGTTTCTGTCGTTATATGTTAACAAGGGTTCAATAATAAAAGCAGGTCTTTTGGAAAGAGGTAATTGGCATGTAGATGTGGGAGTGTAGATATAGGCTTATGAGATTAATTGACATCTTGGAGTGGATTTATTTGGTCCTTCGTTTACTTTATACATCATCAATTATATAACATAGATTTAGATTTGGTTTAGATTGTCAGTAAAAATGAGTGCGCCAGCAGTAAGTAAAGCTGCTTTGGAACGTAAATTCATCGAATGCGGCGAACGTGACCGGATGAAGGAATTGTTGTTGCAAAGGTTACGAGAAAGTGGTTGGGTGGAAGAAGTGGAGAATATGTGTCGGAACTGCATACAAAATAAAGTAAGTGAAAATGCTTTAAAATTTTTTTATTCTATTCATTTTAATAAAGTAAGTCCTTTATGCCAAATCACATTTATAATGGCATGGGAAGGACATATACAATGGAATACTTAAACGATTAAGTATTCCATCGTATGTTCGCTTTCCAAAAACAATTAGTGATATTAGTGTTATAGTAATCAATGTTTATTCTCTATAACATATAAATTATATTCGTACCAATACGATAATTATATCTTATAAATGAATTACTGCTATAAAACTGTTAGGAGGCTTGGATAAAGAAGTGCTGATTGCCTACTGGAAAAGTTCATTGGCATTTATAGAATTCGGGAGGAATGACGAATTTTCTAGTGTAATGGGAATTTAAGTATGACAACAATGAGGATTCAGTATTGACCCATAGGTGTCTTGTTTCTTTTTTTGAAATTCATGTAATTGTTTTTGTTCATTTTAGAATGCTTAAAGTTTTTCGCAGGCAGTTCAAGAAATGGAACTGAGTTTAGAGAAACTAATTTGCATTTTACTGCAGGGTATCGAACAGGTAACACTAGAAGATGTTCTGAGCGATGTGCGAGTACGAGCCAGACGAGCGGTGCCTGATGAAGTGAAGCGGGAACTGATGCATTGTATCCGTTCGTTCTTACAGCAACAGTCCGGTATTAGTGATCTCTGAATTTTGATTCTATTTTGCTTGCATATTACGCAGGGTTCGTGATTTTTTGCTATTGGTTTTATTAAAGGTTTCTGAAAATGCACATTGATTTTGTCCCACTCATATTTTGCTATATTTAATGAGTTGAATTGTTTTAAATTGCTTTTTACTAATGAATTGAATGATTCAGTTGGTCCAGTGAGTAGTTGAATTCCAAATTAATGAAATGAATTGGCGATGAATTACAAAAAAGGTCCGGAGAGACCGGCTCTCAGCTGATCATACTGTTCACGACGTAACCGTCCTTCCATTTCTTATTTACGTATTGGTGGTGTTCAAGTAATTTTGTGCATATTAATCATAAATCTGTGTCCAGTATTTGTGTTCCATACATAGCGACGCGATCCGTGAGGGTACAAGGAGTCTCGAATTTCTCTCACTTACGGTTATACCCCTCCACTTATATCTTACGTTGTATCCCTTACGTTATACCCCCTTACACTTTGCTCCAGAAGGCCTCCAAGATTCCGAAAATTCCAACCTATAGAATGTGAGGATTCCGACCTTGCGCAATCTGACCATTGTTGACGGTTGAAACTTTCATTCAAATTTTTTCCCGATTAAACTCGAATTACACTGCTTCTTAGCATACCATCGTGAAAACATCGCAATAAAAAGTACACATCATTTCCAACACTCCACAGTCAAAAATTTAAGGATGCACAGTAATAAGAGTAAAGAACGATTTACTGAGCAAGTTTACAGTAAAGAGCAAAACAATTTACTGCGCAAGAGAAATAACAATAGGCTTTATCGGCTATTACAGATTAAACAGCAACAAAATCTTTCTTCAATTTGCCCATAAATGCCTTCTTTTCTGCATGTGTTTGGAACCGCCCATGACCAAACTTGGAGCTAGTGTCAATCCACTTCAAGTTGATTTTTTCATAGGCGAAACGTTTCGTTTGTGCAATTAGAGACTTTCTCAATGTGATAGGTCTTTTTTTGGAGCCCATACAGCAACCCCGAATCAAGACGAAGTCCTGATTTACCAGTCCATAATGCGGAAAGCCTCCCTAGAATATTTATAATTAAGAAAACTAGGAATAATGCAAACTAATTGTGTGTGAAAAATTGAAATTGACAGATCTATTGCATTCAGTCTCGTGCGGTTGTCAACATATCAATATGCTGAATTGCAGACTACTATCATCATTATGCAACGTCAATATATTACTCCTCACTTGTTTATAATAGATCATTGCCACTTACCATAGGATTAACGCTTTTTTCAGTGATATCATAGTCTGTACCACCATTTTTTCTGCCTTCCTCAGTCAGGCAAGACTTTCCTATCCGATAGATCTTCTTATTGACTTCCGTACGATGATGATAACCTTTCTGACCAGCGCGAGCTACAGTAAATTGTACACGAGATGGATGCCAAGCTCCGATACAAGCGACCTGAACCATAGCCCACGTTTATTAATATTGTCAAAGAAACCGAAAAACTATTTACTCTCCTACAAAGTAAATTAATGGCTCAGCTTCAATATATCAACAAGATATGTTCAGTCCACTACTTCCATTTGGTCTAATACATCATTGCCATCGAACAAAGTATGCTTCAGTTAAATAAGAACCGCCAACCTTTCGAAGACCTTTGTGTGTCTTACGTGGAAGTTTTTTCGTGTGCCAACGACTTGTAACACCTTTGAAACCTTTTCCCTTGGTAACACCAATAACATCAATCATTTCATCTGGGGCAAATACCGAGTCCACTGGCACCTGAGTGTGAAGAATTTCCAAATTAATTCTATTTTCCTTGGTAAAGATGAGGAAAAAAATTTCCATGTCACTAAAATGATCTTAAAAATTAATGTACCTGTTTTTCGAAATGTTCATAAGCCCAATCAACTTTTTCAGGGACTGTACCACCATTCACTTGTATTTCCATAATGTGAGCTTTCTTCTCTCGATGTTTCATGACTTTCATCTGCAAATTCCACACTGAACAAGTGTTGTACATAAAAAAGCGTGAAACAAACAAATTACGATCCAAAAAAAATCTTCCTCTTCTCAATACAAACCTGTGTATGTGCGATGACACGAATTACCGAACAATATTTCTTCATCTTGGCCAAATCAGCTTGTATCGATTTCATGCCATCCTCATCCTGCCATTTCTTTGCATGCTTTTGAAATGCCTTCTTTTTGGATGAATTCCTGTGGAATATGAGAACTCTAACAGTGTAAAAGCAAAGAACAAAGGTTTCCCGCTTCTTACACTGTTTCAATGGCCTTCATGTTACGCCGATAAAATTTGTAACAGAGGAAGGTCTGTTCTCCGAGAGAAATTGCTTCTCATGCAAACGCAATTGCAGAGGAGAGCGAGAGTAGTATTTTCAAAAAGCGAGCACCGAAGTAACCAAGTCACTTGAAATGCAGCAAAATAATACTATACTAAATAAAACAGACAAGAACTGAAAGCTCAGAAGGAAGGCAGCATATGGACTGTTGCTATCTTCACAATTAGTAAGCATACTTCCAGTCTCTCTTCATAGCTTTCAGAAATTTTTTTTCTACAACGAACATCTTAGAATCGAACCCCTGATATTCACTTGTACACATTTTACCCACGACACCAAGTAGGTCACTCTCTAGAACCACTGCTACAAACTTTAAATGATCATATTTCAAGATTTTGATCGACAGAAAGTCAATTAGCAGTAGTAAATTAAAGGAATTCAAACTCTAAATGCGGATACCACTTTCAAGTCTGAAGTATTCACACACCTTTACAAAGAAAATGACCGACTAAATGTACCAATTTTTGTAGAACCTTCGTCGACAATCTTCCGACAAATGTTCAGCCCATACCGTCTTGAATTGTCTTGGACCGCGCGGAGTGTCGATGTATCCCACCACGCCAACGATAATCATAGGAGGCGTTTCCAAAACTGTAACCGCCTCGACAACTTCCTTTTTATTAACCTTTGAGCCTGGCTTATCAACCTACAATGTTAACATTAAAAACCATTAGCAGATAAAAAGTACAGAAAGACTGGTTTGAGCATAAGTAAGAAGCACTCAGTCCAATAGGGAACATTTTATAGCTCGTCATTGTATTACTCAAATAACAGTGAATGAATCATCATTGTGCATAACTCAGACGATAATTAAAAAATGAAAATGAGAAAACGATACCTCACGGACAATATGAGTCATCCCAGCCTTAAAACCCATAAATGCCGTCAGATGTATCGGTTTTGAGGGATCATCCTTAGGGAAGGCCTTAACTTTTCCACGATGGCGCTTCGAGCGTTTTTTTGGTGTAAAACCCATCGATCCATGTCGTGGAGCCGAAAATTTACGGTGAGACATTACAAGTCAGACTAACTGAAAATTGATTTATTTAAATTATCGCTCTCATCGTTTGCTTTCAAACGTCGCAATATCCCATCAACATTCCATTCTACACATATGAAATCTATTACCTGCGAATCAATATACAGCATAAACAGTTAACTAGTGAAAAATCAAAACAAGAGACTAATAATTTATCAATTTAACGGAGATTAACATTTAGTTATGCAATTAATTCATTCCCAAGTTCGGAAAATGGAAATTTAGTATTCCGGATTACTGGAACTCGTAAAATAAAACATTCATTTCCATCGCAAAAAATCTTACTTCCTAATCATATCTTCAAAATTGATGCTAACAAAGTCGAAGTTAGGAGGTCCAGTAAATGGAATTCTCATATTCTCTACAGATTAGCTTGCCACAAACGACAAGCACAAATTCAACCGTTTTCCGTACCAAAATATTTCAGCAGTAAGAACCTTTTAAAGCTCGAAAATATCACAATGACTCGCCTAAAATGACCCGAAAACGGCAGGAAATTAATCGACTGTTAACTTACATATGTATTATATTTAAAGACAATAGAATTAATAATCTAAAGCCACATTGAGTCTTAAAACTTGGCTTTTTTACGCATCTAGCTACAATAAAACACCATCCACATCGGACCTGCCCACTACCACTCAAGCTACTTATCAATCCTAATTACCACCCCTAAAACGACCATTTAAAAAAAATTTAGGGATTTACCACAGCAAAAAGATTATCAATTCGAAACAAGATTCAACTGATACAGCTTTAAACCCTACAATTTTGTCTCTGAAAGAATTTTTCGATATGGTAACTGGGATGAAAAACGATGCTTCTCTTTCTCGAGTTTAAATAATCCACCTCATGCATGCCGGGAAATCATTTAGCGCCTCCTTGCGGAGAAGTCCTAAAGGTAGATTGCCTCATTCTTATCGCATCATCATAATTTTAATAGAGACTTAACGTAGCACGAAATCATATTTCATAGATTACAATGATCAGAAATAAGATTTTCAGAATGTTAAGATTTAAAAAGTGGATGAGTCAAATCTAGATCAAAGCAAATTGAACATTAGTGCAAGCGGATTATATATCAAATCGATTTAGCACACCCTCAAAGCGACATTCTGTGCTTCAGCTACATTCCTTAGCTATTTCACTTCTTTCTACAGAAATTTGCCATTCATTTTTTCAACGGATAAGTGCAAGTTTATCGGAGAGAACCTTTTTACCACTAATTATCAACTGTGTAACTTTTTATCAGTAACTGCCGCTCAAATATATTTTACTATTTGTCATTTATTACTATTCTGATGTCATATTTCACCGATTATTTAAATCGATAAATTTTATACTAATTTAAATTTAAAAGAGTAATAAATAGCTGAAAGTTACAAAATGTATTTACATAAACGAAAAATAAAATTTAGGGGATATTCATTGAAATGTTGTGACAGTTTACTATTCCCTCATTTTTCCAATTTGTTGTTTATCTCAATATGCAGCAATACAGTCGTCACTTTACTTTAGTCAGCTTTATTGAGTTAAATTAATTGACGAACTTTTTAAATTTAAATTATTTTCCAATTTATTCTTGACAGTGTACAATATTAATGGTACTATCATAATAAAAAATGAATAATAAACTGTCTTTCTGTAGTACGCAAAAAGGAAAAAAAGAAATATTCAGAAAAAGAATTTCATGATCTTTTTAGAATAAGGAGGGTGGAACGGATAAGTGCAAGTTTATCGGAGAGAACATTCGTCAATTATACCCTCATCTTTACAACAAATGATACTTCATTGTACTGAATCATCAACAAAATCAATTTATTTCACACCATTTCATCCGATTTCTTCATTTCGAGACGATCATTTTAAGATGAAGCTGGATGAAACTAAGTTCATCTCATTTTGATCAATTATTTGATTGAAAACCTGTTTACTTATGAAATAACTTCAATTTTTATCTTCAATCTTTTCTACTCATTCTATTAAGCATTTTAGCAAATAATACCTAAATTTCCTTTTATCATTAAGAGATTTGGATCTTTGCTCAAATTATTTCTTTTATTCTTGCATCTGTCTGATACCATTTCCGAAAATAATTGGTCATATTAGGTAAAAAATTTTTTGATCACTTCTTTTTTCTTCTTAAATACTATCAAAATACAATGCTTACTGTAATAATTGTTTCGGTATCACTCCTTTTTTTCACCTTTCATTTATTGGAGAAAAAGGATGAAATTGAAACTTCTGCCTTTCTTTTTCCTTTTGTCATTTTTTGCTTTGTATTTCAAACACTTTGTTAAATCTTTCGGTTAATGACTAGACTAAGTACCAGAGCGATATTTGGAGTATTGGCCATTCATTCATTCATTCATCGTCCATCCATTCAATGATATATTTCTCTTTTACCTTACCAGTTCTCATTTAACATTTTAAAAAATTTAATTGAAAGACAAAAGTAAGGCACATTTTGGCAAAAAATTGCAAACTTGAATATTATATTAGTTAAGTGGTTTTTATTTTTGCTGGAAATCGTTAAATAATAGCATATTTTATTAATTAACGCATTATGCTTGCCATGTTTAGTATCATTTGTAAATTGATTAAATCAATTAACATATCCGTAATTATTTGTAGAATGTGGCATCATAACTTACTGCTTCTATTATTGCTTGTCATTCAGCTTTATTTTGTTCAGCAAGTGACAACCGACACTTTTCCAAATCCTCGTGTCAATGGCTACATTGAATGTGGATTAAAATCGAAGGGATATGTGTGTGATCCCGACAAAGTTACTTTTAGCTTTTTTTCTACAGTTTAATTACTTAGTCGAAATAACTTTTAGAAAATTAGAATTTAATATTTAAAAATTTAGAAGAATAATACGAAAATTTTATTGATCGAAAATAATTCTGCTTGAATTTAGCGAACTACCGTTTATTCAGCATTTTGGTTAATAAGACAATTATTGGAGAAAATAGTCGTCAATGAACTGAAGTGATGAATAATGATCTTACTCATATTCCTTCCTTTCTTTCTTTTATAGTTTAAGATATTTGGCTATTGAAATATTGTTATAATTCAATCATAAAAAGTATTGTAGCAACTTACCATACAAGAAAGATACCGACTAAACAACGATTTATTGCAATTATCGCGACGAACATTAGGTGGTCAGGGTGCGAATTTTTGTACTATAAAAGGTGTTGATGCTACCTTACTCATTACAAAACAGGTTGTCATCAAATTATTTTCTCTTCGCAGACACTGTATGATGAGAATTCATTGATAGCAATTGAATTTGTTCCATTTTTCTCTAAAGTTTTAGCTGTTTACTATGTTCCAATTAAAAATTGTATGATATTTCGAATAACAATCAAAGATTTATTGATCAAATCTGATTTGCAACACCGAAAGTTTGATAGTACTCACATGAACTGGAATTTTAACAATTTTGACTACACCAATGCTGTCATAGCAAATCTATTTAACTTCTATGTTAAAAATATTGGAAAAGTAAGAAAATGATATTCAGGGTAATGAGCAATTAGCGCGTGAATTGAATACCCTTTGGGCTATTGATAGACAATGTAAAAAATCTGTCATTCTCGTACTCTCGACCAACGATCACCGCCTTTATTATGCAGTCGATGAACATTCTCCCATATGTTTGTTTGTTTCCTAAAAAATTGCACTCGGTTTTTCTTCGACTATAATTACATAGCATTGGAGCAATGTCCCAAAAATTTCACTGATTCCACAAAAATATTCCAATGGATCGGTTGGTATCCATATCAATAATGACCATAAACAGTTCAATGGTCACTATTTAAGCCAATAAATGACCATCCTTGGTTTAATAAAGCGTGTGTAATCTAATAGAATATCTCCTGGTTGAGCAGGAAAGTATAAGTAAGTCATGTATGTAAAGAAACAATTTGTGTTCCCATATTTTAAGTGTATTCTATGAATTATTCAATTTCAGTTTAATTTTTAGCTGTCAATGATTTCGAAAAAGCGATCAGCGAACAACAGCAACTTTTAAACGAAGGCAAATTTACGATGGCTTTGACGACGATATTTTCGAAGCTTGGTAAATCTATTGAGGATAAAAAGAAGGGAAGAATAAAGATAAACGGTTAGTTATGCGAGTTTGATCAGAATCAAAGTTCTTAATCAAGTGTATACGGGACAGTAAGAATTGAAAATTTTTCTATGAGGCGGGGGTTGAAGTGTTGCTCAAAAAAATTGGAACCTTTTAGATTTTTATAAAATGAAACTTTTAGATTATTTAACATCAAAAGATATTAATATATAGAATAATAATGTATAGAGCGCCTTTTTGAATTTTGAAAGAATGGGCATTTGGTGGATCCCAGATCGAAGCGTTAGGGAAGGATAAAAACCAAGTTTCTGAAACAATACTCTTTAATTAAACAGAGTGAAATTCCAAACAAGTTATAACTAAAATTGAGAATGTTTTAGATATTCCGGATCAAAGAGATACATCTATGCGTATTCCGCAAGTCGGCGTTCTCTCATATCTTGCGATGATTTCATCAATTGGTTTATATTTACTCGCTGCATAATGATAGATGCACTATAGTTCAGCGCTATTCGCAAAGTCTTGAAAGCCTCCAAGATTCCGACAAGTCTAAATTATGGGCGTGAAAATTCTAGTCTAGCATAATCTAACTACTGTTGACAATCAGAATTTTCACCCAAATATGCTTATTATATCCGAGTTACCAGCCTCCTAATGAAATCCATCACTGGATACACACTACATATACATACGTAAGTAAAAAGTAAGATTTCTTGTTGATGCAAATTTAATTTTCTTCAGCATAAAATTAATTTTTAAAATGGAAATGTCCCTGCAGAATTCTAGTGGAGTATTATCATGGATGGAAGCAATTCAACAAAACATAAATTCACTTATTGCTTCATTTTATTCGCAACCACCAATTTTAATTCATTTATTGTTTCGCAAGTTTTACCTATATAATCCATGCTTATCTTTATGACCATATCATTGTTGCTTGTACATCGATTACTCTGTTATATATCGATTTTTTTTACTTAGATTACTACATTACCTTGAATGTGTATGTAACACATGTTGCGTGAATTCTTATTGTTTTTGCGACACTCCCTTACAATTCTTTTATGAACAGCTTACTTTATCAACTCTTGCTTTACCTTCATTTTAACTATATCAGTTGAACACTTTTTCAAAAATAAATGATTACTGTTATGTTGCATTTCAAACGTTCGTGAACCATTGCAAGCTTCCGCATCATTATAAAAAGATAAGTAAATATTGAACTCTCTGCGATTTTCTATTCGCAAAAGCGAAAAACTGCTGGGGACACCGAGAAGTAAATGAAAGATAAAAACCGTATTCAATATAAACATACAAAATTCAACGACAATGTGTTATTTTAAGTCAAATAATTTGATTTTCGGCAATGAGTTTCATGAAACTTTCTCAAAACACTTCTCTAAAACATGTTCTGATTCTACAGTATTGGAGCTTCCATACGTCTACAAAAACGTGATCCTCATCCTCAAAATGGCTATGAATCCTGATCACGTCAAAGTTTACTCAATTTTTTTCAAGTGGAAATATGTTCATCGTTTGTATTTCTTAACAAATACAACATGCAATTGGTGGTGGATAAATTTTAGTCACATCAGGAGTTTTTTGAAGTTTATGGCCATTCAAAAGGACACCAAAGTATATCTGCTATCATGAAGAAAATAAAGACTTGAATAATTGATTTCTTTTTTCATGACTCCATGTTGCCTTCTCAGCCATCGATGGGAAGAAATTTACCAATTTTGGAATCACGATATACCGTACCTTACGACCCTTTGATGCTTTCGTATCCACTTTTTCTCTTTTCGACCGCTTCTGTCGCAATTTTTGCATTTCTAACCATTGTCTTAAATGAAATATATTAGCAGTTGTGCCAATTATAATTAATGAAAAATGATGAAGTTCATGTTGCTAAAACTATATATTTCTATAAGTGATAGCGTACGTTGCGTACTTTGGAATTTCTTTCTGCGATACACTGAAAGGACAAACAAAAGATGAAAACCAAAAATGATAAAGAAAGTTACAAGAGGCAAAATTAATTTCCTAATTAGAAATAAAAACCAATTTTTAAATAAACAATGTTTTCCAAACTCTTATACAATATCACCATTTCAAAACTTGATATAACTTAGTTAAATTTTACTAAGAATCTTTTACCTGCTCATTTCAACAGGGTCAATCACATTAGCTGATTTCCTCTCAATAAGTTCCTTCAATAGCTGTTGGTAAAAATCATCATCATCAAATATTTCTGCATCGTAATTATCCTGAAACCAATCATTAAGTAATTAATTCCAAATTTATCTTGAAAGAAGATTATTCATAAGCTATTTATCTGTCATGAAAAGCCAAAATTTGGCATACTCACGCTTTCATCGGTTCCAATTCTATGGATATCATGTCGCTTAATTTGGGTCCTACGTAACAATCGATGTTTTTCGTTCATTATCTGTAAAAAACCAATATGTGCAATACTATTATTTATACAGATATTTATTTATATTCCATAGTTGAACCTAGCTTGAAGCAATACTGGTTGAAACAATAAATCAATAATAAAAACATTATGTATATTGCTTAAAATGATCAGCTGATTAAAAATGAATCTTTCTGAAAGGGTATAAAAATTTATTTTCAAGAAAAAAATTTTCAAAAAAAGCATTTCACCTTCGAAAAAAATGCCCTACCTGTTCAATCTGCTTTAGTACAAGAGATTCAAAACCACTGAAATCTCTTTTCTTGTTTTTCATTACACCAATAGCACTCAATGTTGTTCTGTTATCCCATTTCGACAATGTAGATAATCTGAATAGTAACTGCTAAAATGAGTGAAAATTATTAATAATGTTTATTAACAGGAGTAGCTAAAGTACATCAATCTCACCGAAATGCTGAAAATCGATCATGGCGTTTTTCGTATTCTTCCATTAATTCTTTCGGCGTTAGCTTCTTTCTCTTGCCTAAGATCCGCTGGCGCCGATTCACGATTTCGTTGCGATTTGTAATGCTACAAAAACATTTCCTCAGGTGTTTTTATAATGTTATATCGTACGCAACACGTATTAACTCTTTTAACAACCAACCACTTATAAATTTGTCAACAGCAAAATACAAATAGCAATATTACAACATTAGATGAAATTTGCCTTTCATATGACGAGCATACATCAGACTCTCCTCCACTTTCTTTAACATCAGATTCTCTTCCACTGCTGTCTTCCCCATCGATCGAACTTTCAATTTCTTCATCTGAATCTTCGACTTCTGGAAAACAGATTACTCACAGTTCAAAACAGAAAGCAATTTCTTAATAACAAGCATGTAAAAAAAACGAATAACACACTTTTTCCATCGCCGCCAGACAATAAAATTTTCGTCTGTTTAGATGATTTCAACATCTTGTCTTCCATTGTTGAAAATATCTCATTCAGTTGTTCCAAATTTTTTCGCACTGAAAATAATCTTTTCAGGAACGTTTTTTGCACTTCTTAAAAGAATCAGGCTATAATAAAAGATAAGCAAAAAAACACTGCCATGAAAAAATCTTAAGGAAATACTGAATAACGCAAACGTAATATGCTAACTCAGTAGGCATTTAAAAAACAACATTCTACTTCAGAAATCTTTTTATGCTCCAAGAAATCTCCAAAAAAGGAATTGAACCGTACTAATTTTACAATTTTTCCTGGTGTCACCATCTGCTGACTGCTGCAACTTCTTGGCAAGCTGGTGTCTTGGAAGCTGATTGAATGTTCTCAATGCTGCATGTGAAAAGATATGCAATTGCATCAATCGGTCCCAAATCATCAATTGCTTTCGGACACTGTCAGCTGCAATTAAAAAAAAGTACTCCCAGAAATGAAATGAGGTAAATACTTTCAGTGTCTCTTAACTTCCATTGATTTTTATCTATGAGCATCAACATGAGTCGGAATTGCAGCAGATCTGCAATATTTATGCGAACTGTGTCATTACTTTCAAAATTTCAAATCAATTTAAAAAGTGAAAGAAAATACCTTCCCGCCTATCTCAACATCAAAGAATGGATTAGACGAAAATTATTCACGTTTTACGAGTATAGTTACTAGGCTTTCTTCAATAATACAGCAGGCAGGAACATAAGTTATAGATTTGTAGTTCTATAGTCGTAACTATAATCATAATTCGTTACATCGATAAATAACAATTGTTGATTTGTCATGACAGCTTGCATAGCTTTTTAGCTTTTTAATTTTTTATATCTATCCAAACGAAGATAACAGAAAAGACACCTTTTCCACGTTGCGTATCACTTGAAATAGCTGTTACACCTTTAACAGTATCACTTTCTTCTTTCGATTGGGATTGCTCAGAACCTTCTTTCTCTATAAAATTATATTTAAATCTTCATATCATTACCCTCTTTTTCTACACTGATAATTATATAAACTATTTCAACCTCGACATTGCCTTAAAGGTTAGAAAAAACTTGTATGGGGATTATCATTTTGAATTAAATGAGTGGTACATTATTTTGAGTGAGGTCATAATCCTGTTTTCCGATTGTTTCACATATGATTAAAACTTTCATACTTATAGATTCATACCTTCGCTTTCAACATTATCGTTAGCAGAATATGATCCCTGATCCGAATTATCGGCAATACTATTATCATCCACATTACTGCTATCTTCCTCGCTTCCCAGATCATCTGTACGAAAATCATTTACAAAACATATTTTCTGACAGATAACCAAGCTAATAACATTACAATATATCCATCATAAATTTTCATGTTTATTCAGGAGATGAGTAAATTCTTAGTATTCAAATGAAGAGCAATCCGACTAGCTTCATTAAGGTAATGAGTAGCAGCAAAAATCACAATACGATGATTGTATAGTGATGCAGCAACCAAAAAATTTCAAAAGTATTTTTTCATGACACATCAAAATATTTATTTTTTGTGACATAGTCTATCACAGATATTCATTATTAGGCATATTTTAAAACGACTACATTAAAAAGAAATAATCTGCTTTTCATTAGCCGAAAAGAAATAAAATTAAAAAAATAAAGAAATAGATAACCTGGATCTTCACTGGTTCCAGTGCTTGTATTAAACCTGACATGTGCTAGATCAGACATAACATCACCATTAAAAACGTTTTTTGATAATACTGTCTGACCTTCGTAACGTTCATCTCCTAATTCCTGAGTTGCAATTATTCGTCGTTTTAAAAATACGACCTGAAAATTGATTGCCAACTAATTAATGCATACATAAAAATATCGAAATATTACTATCTTTTCTAACTTTTCCGATGTACTAAGAACTGGCAAAAAATTGGATGAACATAATATAATTTTGAATTAGTTCGACAATTGTAATTCCTAATAAAAAATAAACACAATAAATAATAATGATTAGTTCTCTTAGAGTTTTGTGGATGATGGCTATTTTCACAATTATACCAGTAGTATTTATACACCAATCTACAACAGGATTAGTAAAAATGACAAACCTTATACGTGTTAGATCCATGCATTAGTAGTAATGAAAACTTTTTCCATATTTAATTAGACTAATTAACTTTTTGTAAGCAGATGACTTGGACAAGTGACTTCATATTTCAAAACGCTCAGGTACATATAAGGGAAAATCATTAAAAATAGGACCAACTAGAGTCAAGAAATTTATGAAGTAAATAAAACTAAATAAACTAAAACCCACTAAATAAATGGTGTAAATTTGCTTTTCCGGTAATGACAAGGAAAAGATTTTATTTGAAAATAAATTATGGAAAATTACCGGATCTGCTTCTCCGTTTTCTGCTATTTTGTTCCGTGTCCAGAGAGCTTTTGAATCTAAAAATAAACACTCCTTACATTTTCAGCTATCAATTTGAAGTCATTTATTGCCGACCTAAATGCTTGCTGAAAGTTTTAGGACATTCCATCTATAAAAAATGTTGCTGCTATACAGAAGCGATTACCTTCAGCGAGATCGGCTAATTCCATGTCGGGAAGTTCAGCCGCCTGTCCTTCTAGTGAATTCATAAACTGCTTTGCTGACGCCATAGTCATCCAACAGCAAGTGCTATAGCAAGTTTTCATGTAATATCAGGTCTAATCTATATTGAAAATCCAAAGATGATGTTTTTATGTTTCATCTCATGATTGAAATGGTTCTCGTAGTTAAGGTTTAGAGTCTATAAAAAAACTAATGGGTTAAAAATGAGGGAGTTCATAACATTTTATTTTGCTATGAATACTACTGAACACAGCATGATAATTTTTGCAAGAAAATCGCACGTTGTTTAAAAGAACAAAAAATCATGAATTTATTACATATTGCAATTATAAGAGCAAATGTGATAATAAGAGAGTGCCATGCACCAAACTGGCAGAGATGATAAAGCATCAACCAGTGACATTAAAAATTTTACAAACCTCTATTTCTCGTTATCTGTAAAAATGAATGATTCGAGTTTATCTATGAGCTTTCACAAATGACTTAATACTTCTCGTAGAGCTCCACTATAACAGAATTATTGACTTAGTGAAATAATGCATGATACAAAAACTACAATCAAAAAAAGAAAGAGAGAAACGTAAAAATCTTAAATCGAACCACCATATGGCAAAACAGGTGTGTTAGATCGAATCAAATTCGTTATTGATGTGTATATGTACAGCTTGAGATATTGTTTCTCTTTGATCAAGGATGGCTTTCCTGCTCTCAGATGTAAGTAAAAAAATGCGATTCGCACTAAATTTTAAAGCTTTCTTAAGTTGCTTTCAAAAATTTCAGAGTCGAAAAATGGGTATAATTCGGCGACACAACACGATGGATGTAAGTTACCGTGATTATATGAGATGTGCGACGTCGGACACGATTGCTAAAGAAATCTCAAGCTTGAAAAGCGAGTATAACAGTATTACCAATCATCGACGGCATCATTCCGAGCCTATTTATTGCTCCGGTGCTCTTTCACAAAATTTTCCGGTTCCTTTGTTTCCTTGTGATTTTCTTTTTTCTCTCATTATTACCGTAATTTCGTAAACATTGATCTTTTATCTCAATTCTGATAAAATATTTTTGGCATCACTGAACTGTGTTTTCATATAGATTATATATAGGTGAATTATATTTTTCAACGAATTGAAAATCATTGAAATACAATCATTGAAAAATATAATGCGCTCAACTAAAATGAATGCTTAAATAACTTGTATCCTTAAAGTTATAGTATTATTATGCGGTACTTTTTCGAGGTAGATTTGTGACAATAGCTTGAGTGATAAAGGGTTCAAAGGAAACATTGGAATCGCAATTCCAATGGTTACATGTTTGCAGGATAATGCAATGGATGATAGTCGAATCGGTGGAAGTTGGGATAATGCAAAACGTTTCCTCATTGAATCACGAAAGCAAGATCTAGAGATTTCGAGGGATATGGAACGCGTAAATCTTTATATATTATCATATCACCTTATATAGAGTTCCCCCACGGCGATATATATCGCGATAAAAGAAGAAAGTATCTCAATAATTTAATTTATTCAAATTAATGGGTATCCCAAATATCATGGCATTCCGGTTCCATGTTTTTGGCAGGGTCCTTTATATATCTGCACTGAATTCTTTTCGACAATATCCAATGTCTTGTTTATCATAGGTCTTAACTGGACAATGGTTTTCTATATAATGAATAACGGCGTATTGAATTCGAAAAGGACTTAAGAACTTCTCACTTTTTCATGATTCTTTATAAATTTTGACAAATGAACTAGAGTTAGCAGATTTTTTAGGAAAACATGCACTTATATCTTAGTGAGATGCTTATTGCTGCCATGGAACAGCTGCAGTGGCGTGCAATAGTTGAAACCCACCAGAATTCCATTGCGGAAGCCAAAAATGTTAGTATTTGGTGATGTTAAAACAAGAATAGCTTCGGTTAATCTGTTCTGATATATTTGTGCCAAGTACTGTTTTAATTTAGTCTACTTTTTTATCTACCAATGTTCGGAAATTATTTATGCAGTATTTGAAAGTGCATTATCTAGTTGAAGAGCTGCAGTTGTAAGCAGTGTTTTTTGAAAAGTATGATTTGATAAAATTGACAATTGTTACATGATGGCGTATTAGATCGTATTGATCTTTACAATCAGTCCAATTTAAGTCAGATGAAAGTATTGTGATAAAAACTATGATTTTCAGACAAATTCCTGTCCAACATTGGCAATGTCTTCTTCAGAGTCGGTTTGTGGCGATTCTTCTGCTGAACAAAACGAAGATAAAAATACTTCTGGTCCATCCATGTTTTGTGCTTCTGCTGAAGATTTACATTTTAGCGAGGATAAAGAAATGTAAGTAAAAAACATAGCAGTAATTTATTCTATGAATTTCGTATTAAGAAACAATAAAATGTTTTCTAAAACAATTTCGTAGTTTAATGAAAATGATTATAAAAAAGTTGAATTTTGAAAATTACTTTATAGAATGTCTTGTAATACGTCCAATAGAAATAGTGAATCTGACGATGATAGCATTCGTGAAAATTCGGCCGAAGCAGTTGCATCCTCACTATTCAAGCAATTTTCAACGGCTTACAAACCACGCTCAGCTGCCGATATACAGTGGCTTGTTTCTTATGCACAAGCCCCTCAGAAGGTATTCTCCTTTTTTTTCTCATGTTATTTTCCATGTACTCTTTGCATATTTGTAAAGTAGCTAAGCTTTTTTGTAGCTTCTTCCGATGCCAAATGATATAGCGGTGTTTTTTGATGAAGTAGGTAACGATGGTCGGCCAATTTTCTTTCGTGGTTCAGAGAATTGGGCACCCCCGAGGAAGCAGTGGATTTTTCGGCTGCATCCAGAGCTTCAAAGGTTTTATGTTAACTAATTGATTATAATTTTATTATCAAGTGTTGCATGAAATGATATATTTGTTCCTGCAATTGAACACGTTTTACTGTATCGAAAGACTAAAATTTAGCGAATTTAATCATATCTACGAGGTCAATGAATAATATTTGGTGTTTAGTTTTATTGTTTAGTTTTGCCACTTTTATCAGATTTTTTGAAACAATTTGCATTACATAACTACTTTTTTAAACATTAAATATTTTCAAATTCTCCGTATTCTTCAAGAATATTTACTTTTTTTCACAGTTGAGTGAGAATTTTTTGTTTGCTGTTGTTCAGTAACATGTGATTCCCTGTCGGCAGCTTTAGTGTGCGAAAACTTCTTGAACAACAACAGTATCGCTGTGGTGGATGTGGTATTAAAGTTGCTAAAGTATACTGTCGCCGAATGCGTTATTGCGATTATTATGGCAGAGTATTTTGTCAGCGATGTCATCAAGGCGCAAAAAGTCGTATCCCAGCACGCATTGTATATCAATGGAATTTTAAGTATATTTATCTACTTATCATTTAAGAATAGTCGCCAATATTAATAGACTAGGCTGTTTGAACGACTCTTAGCGTAAGAAAAGATAGTATATTTATGTTAATATAAGGTTGCATTTTGCAGAGAATATCCTGTATCCGATATAGCTTATCGATTCTTATTAGATAATCATCGACAACCGGTGATCAACGCATCAGCGATTGATTCTCGTTTCTATAACAGAATCCGTCGGTTGAAAAAAATTAAGGAATTACGAATAAAGCTTGTACACATTTGGTCTTATATACGACTTTGTAGTACTGCTAAAGAAACAATTACAAAATATGGAAAGTAAGTATCAATATTTTCTCTTCGTATTTCATTAACAATTTTGAAGTTATTTGCGAATATTCTATGCCTCTCTCAACAAAGCAGTTTATGAATCAGTTTTTTTAAAATGTTAATATATTACCTTGTAAACCAGTTTAAAGCAACAGTGGTTTTTTTGAAATCTCTGCTTTAATCTATCCAATGAAGCTGTGAAGTTAGGAATGCTTCTCTGTAAGAACCATTAGGGTATTATATTGCATAACTAAGCTTTTGATAAAGTTATCCGAAAATATCAATCAAATGGACTCGGTGAAAATTTGAGGGACGCATTCTAAACGGGAAATTGTATTCCGGTTATCAAAAAAAGATCTGTTTCAGTTTATATGCTACATTTTCGACAGTACCAAAATATATGTTATCAGATGCGGATGTCTACTCGGTAGAAGATTTAGAAAACGTACGAAAAGGAGAACTTTTTCGAATCATTGCTCCTCTCGTACAATATGGCCAGTATCACGTTGAAGGATGCGAGGTTAATTGTTTCATCTATGTATCCATTGTTCTTGGTATCATTTTATTTGTAGTGAAACATTTTCAATAATTTTAGCATTGCCGCGCTCAAGCATTCGTATGTGAACTTTGTGACGAAAAGGATGATTTGCTATTTCCATTTCAAGTTGAATGTGTTAATCGATGTGAAGAATGCGGTTCATTAAGTCATAAGAAATGTGCTATCAAACGACGAAAAGACGGAAAACCATGTCCTAAATGTTTGCGAATTCAGCAAAATCTGTTAGTTTATTTTCTTTTCGCATTCAAATTAGTATTAGAAAATCTGACAACTAGTCGAGTCGTCCTTTTTAGTACTTAAATTACCGCTGGTTAATTGCTTTATTAAATTTACTTAGAACTTGTATCGTAACTGTTTATATGGTTCAATGAATGCGTTGCTTCGTCTTTCGAATCTAATAAATTCTTCTTGGAACTCTCAAAATTTTTGCGGGATTTTTTTTAAAAAACAATATTTTAATCCAATGATATTTTTGCACCAAATTTTTAGTGAAAGGCATCAGTGTTATTTGGAATGGTCTTTGACAACAACTGAACAGCAAGGCTCAACGACGCCATCGTTAGATGATTAATGGAAGACAAAAACAAAGAGATATATAAAAGAGATACATAATTTTGCTTCTTATTTTAGATTATTACTGTCTTTTCAATTCCTGTCTAGTTTTGAAATTATGATTAAATTTTCATGGGTTGCACTTTTAACTGGTTTAGAAGGAACTGTCCATTTCATTTCCCTTGTAGAAAAGAAACTATAATTCCTGATCCGATTCTGTTTCCTTTCATTCGATTTCACTGATTGATGAAAATGACGTTTTGTTTATACATGAGAGTTCATCATGATACGTGAACCACCCATCTTTAATATATTGTGATATGTTTTAGTTTATGTTGTATTAGAAGGCACGCATAACCTTTTAGGGGTTACATAAATAGGCTCATGATAACTATAAAGAGCAAATATTTTGATACTGTTTGTTCTCATTTTTTACTTATGAATTTTAGAATACTTATCTTCTGTTGTATCTACGAATTAATCCTTTGTGATCGATCTTGTTTCTAAATAGTCTTAAGTATCATATATTTTGTGATTGACAATGCTGCTGAGATATATGAAATATTATATTTATAATTATCTTTCCTTTTAAAAAAACTTTTTTGCAAATGAATCCATGCTCAGAAATGTGCACTTTCTATTTTTAGTGCGGTGATATTGTTATCATTCAAGTAAGTAGTTTAATTGTGTAATACAACTCTATCTCTGCATAATTTGACTCATCATCAGGAATTTTGATATGGCCAATGTTGTTGTATTTGGTACTTTTCACTTTCTGTAATTCTCCTTAATAATAATTAAAATGGACGATGGGGAGTTCAATAAGTTTTTGTACATTTGTTCAGTTTTCATAGATTATTAGTCTTGTCAGAGGCACAATTGTAGCCAAACCAGCCCTTATTTTTCTTGGACTTCAAAACAAATGCATAAAAAAAAGAAAGCAAAAAAAGAAGTTCAATTTATAATATTTCTTTGCACACTGTCTTGAGTTTTATTAATTTTCTTATTTCCGGTGCTGTTATTGCCCATCGAATTAAATACATTTGCCACCTAAGAATGTAATTTTCAGTATCGATGAATTTAAAAATAAAAGATCGCAGCCTCTAAATATATTTTTCCAGCAAAAATGAATTGTTATTCTTCACAAATTCATGTTTTAAATTAACATTCTACTTAAATCACTATGAATATTTTAAGATGCCATAAATCGACATAAATGCGAGTCTAAAATTTCTTCATGGAATCATTATGTGGAAAGAAAAGACGATATACGAGCAACAGTGCCATCGGTGATAAGCATTAAGGAAAGATTATTTGAAGCGGTTATGCTGATAAGAAAAATCAGTGATTTATGTAATACTCGACCAAATACTATCTATCAAAATTCGTTTGAAATAGTTATAAATTGAATTGTTTTATAATAACTTTTCTTTTTTGTTTCCTTTTTCGCTTTTTGCAATTATTTAATTTTATTTTTGGTAAAGCAAAATTTGTGAAATGAAAACTAAAAAACATATTTTGATTCACAAAACATATCAAACATATTAAATTTTTGCCAAACTGAAAAATAAGTTTGTCAATTAATGGTATATATCTTTGGATATAATTATAGTTTTTATGTTGGCCGTACTATATATTCTCTTTTCCTTACCTGTTTATTACTTTATCATTAAGCATCAAGAATATCTGTTGATATTTCTTTGTTCGACTCGTTTATTGGAAATAATATAAATAAATTTAATTGATAAATGATTAAAATCATTAAAGTTAAGGAAAGACAATTGTAAAGCCTTATCATATGACATGCAATTTTATGATTGTATGATGGCATGTTGTGCAGTTCGAAGGAAATCAATGATAAACGTTGTAAATTAAAGCTTAATTTTTATAAATGAAAATGGTTTTAATGACACCCAAAAAAGTTGAAATAAACCAAAGTATTTTAGTTGTAATAAAAACTGACAAATTTGTTGTAATTATTTTGATGTAAATTAATTTTAAATGGTTTGAAACTGATTTTAGTATAGAAATAAAAAAATATTTGAATTTAACAATGTCGATATTAAGATTCCTAAGGAAATAAGATAAGGTATTTTTTCACTAAAGAAGTAAAAGAATAAATAAACCAATAAGGTATAGATTTTTCTAATGTCAAATATTCCTTATATTGTTATTAATTACAAATGTAAATGAATTTTCATCAATTAGATATCAATGTAAATTAGTGCTAAGAATATTTGACATTAGCAAGAAGATGCAGTATATTTATTTAAAGACTGGAATTGTTTTAAAATGTTATCATAAATCGTTAACATTGTATCACGCTGCATCATTTTGATAATTTTTCAAATTTAATTATTTTCATTTTCACCTTTTTCGCTATGAATAATTAGTAATCAATTCGGCTGCATTTTCCTTATATTTTCCATTGAATACTTTTTTATATTTTAGACATAAAATACTTTTTTAGATCAATTGTTTTTAGACCAATTAAATCAATCAATTCAAACGACATAAATGAAATTTGAAATATGAAATTTTACACTAATATCATCAATGAAAGAAGTGGCACTATTTGTGATAATATCAATGAAAAATGAATAAGTCATTTTTTTGTATTCTACTTAATGTTTTCTGCAAAATTTGAGTAAAACATCTGTTGTCTTGGCTTTATTCAGTCACTCATAGGCCCTTTCATTTCTCCTTTAATGGTACAATCAAGAAAACCTGTTTCTCTTCTCTTTCCACGCCATAAAACTTATCACCAATTACTACTTCAAATGTTATATGTAAAAGACGCACATCTTAATATTGTCTAAATTATTCAGTTTATTCATTCAGAAATTACTATCATTGTTAGAAATTTCTGTATTATTTACTAATTATTGACTAATATTAATGAATAAGTTGCTGTATTTTCGGAATATTGATGTATGACAATAAATTCACTATCTTCTTGTTTTATTTTTATTTAAACTTTATTATTCGATATTTACTTTAATTAATTTTGTGTCTACTACTTTATTTCAACTTCCTCGCTAAATTTATTTTGGAGCATTAAAACGGATACGATATGCTGTCAATCTTAATTATTTTTACAGAAATTTTTCAACAAACAATCTGCAAGCCACAAATGATAATGCAACCACCACCACCACCACCACCACCACCACCACCACCACCACCACCACCCCCACCACCACCACCACCACCACCACCACCACCCCCCCCCCCCCCCCCCCCCCCACCCCCCCCCCCCCCACCC